CGGGGCTCTGATAAAATCACCTGGCACTCTGAGGAACTCTGAGAAGAGTGTGTGAAATCCGGGGAACCCGCTTTTTGACGCATTTTATGAGGAGGTTCAGTAATTTTTCACCGTCGGCCAACGCTCCCCCCCCCCCCCTCCCATTTCTTGTCGCGAAACTTCTCCCTTGCCACAATTCCATGCTCCCAGAGCTATGGGACCGATCGATTCCCAACCTTCACCATCCGTAGTAACTGGGTCGATGACGTATCTTTTCCAGACAATCGTGCCCTTGGGTCGGGTCAGAGGTCACCAAAAATGCAACAAACGGAAAAGCAGTGGACAGGTAACCCCATATTTCGGACCTTTGAGACAGATTACTACAAAATCTGCATTTTTGTATGTGCCATAGTCAGTATTCTGTCCTGTCCCGAACATAGTGGCCCTGGGTCAGGTCAGTGATTACCTGAAACACCGAAAACCACCAAGCATAGTTGCGGACAACCCCACATTCCAAGCCGATGGGAGTGATCAAAAAGAAAACTTCAAGTGATACGTAATGTTGGAGAACCTATCCCCTGCAGAACGTGGTAATCTTAGCTGGTTTCCAGTTGTCTACACCCAATTTTGGTGGTTTGGGGCGTTTTTGACGAACTCCGACGTTATCCAAGGTCACCAAGTTTCGTAAATAGTATACTGACTCGTGCATCGACTGGTGAATATTTTGTGTTGATTTGTCATTAAGGCTTAGTATCGCCCTCCTCCCCCTTCCAATTGCGGGCTCTGGCCCCCACCTTTTGGAAGAAAGTGCAAAGAGAAAGCCGTTTCTTGGAGCATTTTGGGATAGCTTCAGTCATTTTCCATATCTCACGCAAACGAACCCCGTTCCCCCGGAAGTATCGTGCGAAACATCGACCCTGTCGTCAGGAATCGATACGCATCCGCAAGGTTGACTGATGCCATGTATTTTGCACAAGTAGATATTGCAGGAAATATGCAGGGCAATCGGCTGAGCAGAAGGCTGAGATACGAGTTCAACATTACGAAATGAACAATAAACAAGTCCAACGCTGCACGAAAATTGGTTTATGTTAAAACAGGACAGAAGCCTTACCTTTATGACATGCTAAGTGCCCATTTCTTAAGTGAAACACATTACGCAAGTTAATACAGTGATAAATAACGTGTTTTACGACCTTTTTGCAAAGAGGCTTTCCCTTAAAACAACTCTCCCCTGCACCATAAGAACGGCACACAAACTACGACAGCTGACATGTGATATGTACACACTTAACAAACGGAACACAGGGCGAAGACAGAACAAAAGGTGGACACTGGTCGGATGGGGCGGTACAAGCCACCATGATAAAGCACATGTGTTGACTTCAGATTTGGGTTGAATGGCCAAAGCCTCGCCAATTTTAGCGCAGCCACATCCTTGCAAGCACGCAAAATTTTGGCGCGTTCAAGCGCAGGTGATAAGAACATAAATGACGCCGCAAACGTTGAGTCGTTACGTTCGCCACATGTTGCCAAGCATGGTGCGACCCGGACGTAATCCCGCTGAAGTCGCGCCTGCAGTCCCGGGCAACGTGTCGCGCGGTCGTCACGCGGTGCGGGGTCCACCTCGAAGCCCTCACGTGGTGCGAAGCGGGCCAAAGCGTCTCTCAGTCCTGGCAGAGGTCAAGGCTCAACTTGCGGCGTGCGTCAAAAGCAAATAGGGATCAACTCTCCGCTTACGCCCGCGCTTCTCTGGCGGTTCATCGCGTCCTGTTAGTCCACCACTGCTGGCCACTTGCCAGTAGTGGTATTTGACCAGCACGCGCGTGAAAGTCACGCGCCTAGGCGTGGCGCCCTTTCTGCATCTGGACCAGGCGAGTGGCAGCCCGGTGATTTGGCCTTCAGCCCACGGAGCCCGCTGCCGTCAGCAGAGGATGGGAGCGCCTGCTGCCAGCGACGAGCGCGCATTCACGCGTGAAGCGTGCTAGACGACGATCCTGTCCACCCGGCAGATGGAAGCATGATTGTCATTGCAACTTGCGCTTATCAAATATTTATAGGCTAGCACCAAACCACAGTTTTCTGTGGCGTCTGCTGACGGATGACCCGGCAACCAGGGGTAACTCCACGCGGACCCGTCCAGCGTCTCCCACGTTCCATCACGCGGCTCGTCGTGGATCCCAAACCAGAACAGGGTGTGCCTGCCGTTCTTCTGGAGGAAAGCCATCAGGATTTGGGCCATGGCGTCGTCGTGCGTATGGCCCAGTCGCGCCCCTTCGGCCAGCTGGCCGCAGTGCTCGTCGGCAGCATGGAAGGTCATCGGCTGCTTCACCAAGCCGTAGCAGTGGACGTCCGTTTGCAGCCAACCGTCCGGACAGCCGCGCAGCAGACCGGCCGGCATCGGCGCCTCACAAACGACTCCCAGCGTGGCGTCCTCATCTGGCCGCTGGATGAGTTCGTCCGTGTTGTGGTTTTCGGACAGGCTCATGGCGATGCCACCCGTCGAGCGGATGGTAATTTCGGGGATGAAAAGGCTCTTGTCGGCATTGCGCCAGCCGAGGGCCCGAAGCTTCGGCGAAACCCACTCGGCGATGTGTGGGCGGCTGGAGTGATGCAGCAAGAACGCCAGCTCCACGTCATCGTTGATGGACACGGGCAGCGCGCACGGGTCGCTTGACTTGCAGGCTGCTATAGCGTCGTTTTTGTTCATGGCGTCAGCGATCCTCAAGTAGCAGCTACCGTTGAACGGGATCCAGCCGGGCAGACAGTCGGTCGAGCGTCGGGAGATGGCCCGCCGCTCGTAGCTGACTTCGGCGGCGTCCGTCGACGGCGCCGTCTTCAGGCAGTGCTGCGTCATCACCAGCAGGTCGCACCGGCCGTCCGGCCCGAACCGGAAGCCGTCGCAGTAGGCGGGCTCCAGCTCGCCGCAGTATCGCGCGCACCGGCCTTGGCTGGCGGCCCATAGCGTCGCGGTCGCGTTGCCGATAAAGCGCTGCGTGTTGCGGGTGAACCAGTCGGCCGTCAGGCCGGCCGCCAGGCCGGGCAGCAGGAGCGTCAGCAGCTTCATGACGACGATGTTCGCTCCGATCTCGAGTTGTGCTGGACGGTGCTGGACACCCGTGCTCGCCGGCTCGGCCTAGACCACTCTGCACGTTGGGCTGCTGGGGGGAGGGCTTGTTTTGCTGTTGTCCTCCACGGCAACGGACTGCCGAGCGTGACATGGAGCCACAAACTTCTGCCGGCGCTATGGTGGTGCATTCCTCAGACGGAAGCGCAGTTCCAGTGGGTCGACTTGTCACGCGTGATGCGGCTGCGCGAACCATTCGACGTTCAACGATGACGCTCGAACGGACATCTCACGTCACAAGAATGTGAAGGGTATCAAAGACGGCATGCAAAGCCAACATCTCGATCGACCTCCACAATCGGACCGCCCGCACAGCCGTGGCGAGGAGCATTTACAAGATTTTGCAGCGGGGAGGGAGGGAGAGGGCGGGGAGGGGCGGACGTGAACAAATTAGTGACAAAAATGACTGCGCCACAGGCGTGCGAAAATTTTTGGTGACACGTGACACCGCATGATTCCTCATCCAATTCGCTACAAAATGGCACCACGGTCGCGCGTGTCCTGTCGCCCCGATCCCGTGTTAGGGCGGTTCGCCGGTTTTGGCGCAGAACATATGTTCAGACCGCCCATGCAAAACCAATGGCGACAATGCTTCACCTTGTGGCACGCGGCACGCACCGCTCGTCGATCGCGGCGGCATGAAGCATGCCACCGCGCGTCGGCCCACGCGCGGGTACGCCGTGTCAAAAATGTACTCTTAGCACGCGCTCGGGTAGCCGGCTGGACACACTTCGGTCGGGTAGCGGGGTCAACATGACCCCCCTGAGATCTCGGGAACTAAGAGAGCACCAAATTTACAGGGTGCGTTGACCTGTACGTAAACTCACTGAAGCCAAAGTTTCAGGTTCCTAGGTCATGACCTTCGGGTCAAATGAGGTCAAACAAGGTCAAATTCCAGGTTGGTCTTCAAAGAGCCCCAGAACCTAGATAACTGTTTTTAAGCAAAAGGTCACATGCTCAGTTAAGGTCAGCGACCTTACTTAGCGTTTTAAAGGTCATGGTGACAAAATCACAATCACGGGAGCCGCCGAGTTTTACATTTAAATAAGCGACAAAGATTCCGCTAGGCAGCATGTTCCGAAAAACTAAATGTTGACCTGGGTCGTTTTAGGTCAGTGACCTATCTTGACCTCTAAACAGTCCATGGAAGAGGTAGAACGCGGTTCCTGCTATCAGTAAATTCGAAATGATCACCGGAAACCATCCCATACAGCAAGTCCTAGAGTAATAAAACAGGTTGGTTTGACCTTGGTCTGACCTTCATACCTGACCTTACGTCAATGTAATTTGCTCATTCAACTGTTGTGCCTAAGAAAACACCTCAGGGACGCATGACTTCGTCTAACACTCCGTTATTGCATCAGATTGAATGATTCCCTAGAAATTGACTGCTGAAACCATGGCCTGACTTGGACCTGCCATAGGTCAGCGACCTGACAAGGTGGATTTGAATTTCTGATACCAAACGACCGACTATTCAATTGTGTACAGCTATGCAAAATTTGGCGCGGGTACACCGCCCTTCAGAAACCGTTCCGGAAAAACCCTGGGCTGGGGCAATTTGACCCCCACTCGAGCGCGAGTTACGTGACGCACCGTCTGAACCGCACGCACGAAAGGCAAGAGGCGAAACGCAGACAGACGCGCGCTCTTCGAATATTAATATAAGTGAGATAAGCCCGTCATAATGCAGTCGATGACCCCCAGAAGTTTGAGCAGTTCCTTGAGGTATGGCCAGCACTTACGATTTAGGAAGCTTTTAATGGTGAGGATGCCACTCATCCATCTTTTAGTGGTGAGGATGCCACTCATCCGTCTTTTTCCGATATGCAATATCTGATTTGGAAATGTAGCACAAATGTCTTCCTGAACATATTGTTTGATTTACTTCCAGTTCATGCTGAGGCAGGAGGTTCTCCACATGTACAGAGATATCCTGAGAGCATTGAGAGGAGTTCCAGAGAAGGATAGGAGTGCATTGAAGACGTGGGTCAGGGAGGAGTTTGAACTTCATCGGTCTGTTGAGGATGAGGTTTGTAAGGTGCCGCATTGTTCTCATTCATGCCCCATTACTACAGCACTGTTGATCCTACTCGTCACGAATGTGTTATGTTGAACCACATAGAGATGAAGTCACCTGATGCAACTACTGACCAGCTGTTGGATTTGTGTTGTTGGTCTGCGCTGGTTGGGATATGACGTGTGCATGCCACGTGGTCGGATATTTTAAAGCAGAGGTAATTCATCACACCAGCGTCAAAGTCAAGCATTTGTGCAGTGATTCCGTCTACAGCTTAATTCCCATATCATCTGTCTCGTTCTGCTTGGCATGTACCCCCTCTCTCCCACTGAGATGGTGCTGGCTAATTCACCGTGACGACTGGAGTGCCTCACTTGGGCAGGCTTTAATCAAGCAACACCTCACCCGCGGAAGGAAGACGTTCCGTGATCTGCAGAAGACAATGAACCTCGCATCATCGTGACAAAACTGGCACGTAGATATAGGAGCTGCTCACCCCCAGGAGTAGCTCATTAAGTGTCATGTACTACGCTAAAGTGAGTACTTCGTAGCAAATCACGCATGCGTTTTGTTGTCAGACAACGCCGTTTTTCAGTCGAACGTGTATCTCCACATGTGCAAATGCTGATGGGACATTTCGATACGAACAAGCTATGGGAGGCATCATGTATGCTTGTCTTCTCCAACAATCGTGACTCAGCCGCATGAATGAATCTATACGCCGGTGATGGCTTTTGCAGATAGCCGCGCTTCTTCACAGTGGCACATCTCCTGCCCGAACCACCGCATGGTCTGGGCCAGGGCCTCTGGTATGAGGGTTGCGGCGGGAGTACACCAGCACACTGCACTGGAGGGAGCTCAGAGGACTGGCACGTTGAGGACTGGAAAAAACACGCCGGAAACGGACCATCATAAGCAGGATCGGCCCCAAACCACTGCTTCGTGTCACCCACTGGAATGTCAGCGCAGCGGAGGTTTCCAATAACAACCGAACCCGTGGACACCACACGGCGCCGAGAAATGGTCAGTCCACTGGGACTGTCAACGCCCACGAGTGCGGTGGAGATGGGGCGTGCGTGGCCGGCCTTTCCTGAAATTGATGCGCAATCCACAAGTCGCTGCCGACGTTGCTATAGTAATCGAAAACCTATCACCCCTGCGAAGGGTCAGGTCAGGTCAGGTCATGTCCGCACGGCGGCGCGCCTCACCCGCGCACCAAATGACTAGCGGCGAACATTCACTCCCGCTGGTGCACCCGCACTGTCTGTGGCGCGTCACGCGGGATCTCGGAATCACGGCGTCGACGGCACGCGCGCGGCGTGCGTGACACGGCGCGGGGCGCGTGACACGGGAGCCTTGGAGGGGCGGAGGATGGGCGCTCGGCCGCCGGGCAGCGCCACGCAGAGAGGACCCCCGGTGGCAGCCGCCGCCGGCTGGTGGCGTCTCACAGATGCGACCTTGGGACCGGGCCGGAACGCTGCGCCAGGTGAGCTTGATGTCAAGCCCGGCAGATGGTGACGGCGGCAGTGTTCCTTCAGCGGCCGGCGACACGCCCGGCCTCAGCCGCCGTCCGGCAGGTCGCGGCCTTTCCTCGGCGGCGAGCGACACTGCGCACCCGCTCTCAGCCGCCCCCCCCCCCCCCCCCCTGCCCCGGCTGCCGGGGCTGATCCGGCCCCCGGCTGCCGGGGGCCGGATCACAGCTCAGAGCGCCGTCACCAGAGCTCTGAGTCCGAGTGCCACGTTGAGCGCCAGCAGTGCCGAGCCGGCGAGCGTGCCGGCGGAGGCCAACCGCGCGCGCCACCGCCGGCCGACGCGGCCGGCCAGCGCCGCCTCCAGCAGCGCCTCCCAGATCCACTGGCCGTCGAGCGCGCGGCACGGCACGGCGTTCAGCACGGCCAGCGCCGCCGAGAACGAGAGCACGTAGCGCGCCAGCGTCTCGAGTCGCAGCGGCAGCGAAGCCGAGAAGAGTGCCGAGCGCGGCCGGTACCCGGAGACGCGGGTGTCGCGGAACGCCGCCGCCGGCACGCCCAAGAAAAGCACGGCGCGCGCGCCGCGGCGCCGCAACGCGAGCAGGCGCGTGCCGTTCTCGAGCGCCGGCTGCAAGCAGAAGTGCTCCTCGGCGCAGGCGGCGGTTGTGGCGCACCGCATGGGCGCCGCGTCTACCACTGCGCGCGCCGGCAGGCAGGAGAAGGGTGGCGCGCCCCGATCCGGGCGAGATTCGTCGGCGATGAACTGGAAGCAGAGGTGTGAGCTGCCATTGGATGCGGCGCAGCACTCCATCGTGCCTGTTTCCTCGCGCTGGAACGCTGTCGACGGCACAGACGGGGGAAAGCGTTAGTGAGGGCGGCGACGGGTGGCGGGCAGGTCTGCACAGACTGGGCAGCTGACGCTCTTTTTGAAGTGAATTTCATGGACTGCTGCTAGTGGCGCATACGAAATGTGTCAAAATTTCGGTACATGCATGCGTAGGGACGGTCCCAGGGCCCATTGCTGGAGGACCTTCAGTGCAATATGGTGATCATTGCAAGACAGGAGACCTTCCAGTGATTATACGCAGTGCCATGAAGTTACGCAGCTGCCAAATCGATGGCTGTGCACAAGGTGGCATGGCAGTGTGCTTGCTGTTGTTGCCTAGGCTTGTGTTTGATGGCGACATTGATTCATTAACAGCGGCTGACCCAACACGTCAGCACGGCGTAGCAGGGCAATTGCACCAGCACCGTGCACCTGGGCACGCCATGTAACCGCACTCAAAAGGCAGTTTGCTTGTTCCACGGCGCGATCTCAGAATGCTCAGTCGTCCAGCCATTACTTTCCCGTCAGGCCTCACGACCGGAAAATATATTGACTTGCCGTCTCGCCCGTGGTCCCCAACAGCGGAAACGCTTCAACGATCGTCATCACTCACGGTGGTCGATGGTTTCGTCGTAGGTTGCCGTGATGTCGGAGGGCACGCAGTAGCCGGCTGGGGGCGCCGCCGCCTGCCGCGCCAGACACGACAGCCAGTCACGACGGGTCGTCACCGCGCAGTCGTCCACGCCCGTCACCAGGTCTCCCGCCGACAGACCGGTGGCGCCGTGCAGCGGCGACCCCTGCCAACACCGAAGTGGTGGAAGGCTGGCGCTTTGTCGTTCCTGCACTGCGCAGGGGCGGATTCCGCCCACTCGTTGTTTTCTGCCTGCTCTTGAACGGTTTTGGGCAGGTCTCTGAATTTTCGGATTTCACGTCAGCATCTTTTACTTAAAGGGAATGTCCGCGTCTGAAGATGTAAAAGAAAGCATGAGGTATGATGAAATGAGCTCACGTTTAACTATCGATATACGTTTTAAGCGGAGAAGACTGTTCTGCACAGCACAGTTTTCTGTTAAGTAAATATGCTCCTCAATGCGTCACGGTTTGATTACGTCGTCGTACCCTGCACAACACTGACTTGGAGCCAATGGACGGCCGTTATATCTGGACATTGCGCTCACGAACTCCAGACATAAACGCCTCGACAATTATATTTGTATTGGCATTAATCGCCGCATGGCTTATAAAATGACTTAAGTTGAATGATGTTCTTACGACGTCATGAATACCAAGGTGGCTTTAACGTACTCTCCCCGATAAACCTTGCCTATTTTCGCAGGCGTGTAGCTCAGAAACTAAAGGAGCTTGCATCGTAAGAAGGGCATGGTTGTGAACAGCACCAAAATGCCTTCAAGATGGCTATTTAAGTTCCAACCCCCGCACACATTTAGACCATTCCCTTTAACCTGTTCAGATCATTTAACAAAAATATGATACATATAAGAAAGACAATACTAATAGCCTTATTCTTCGTAAAATAACCAGGAGAAAGGAGAGATAGATGCATTGATACTTTGGCTACATACTTTAAACAGAACGAATACGGGTGACAAGTTAGACGCTGGAAACAGCCTGCCGAGCCCACTCAGTTTTTGGAAGATTCTTTAAGCGAGCCGCGGTTTTCGCAGGTCACTAACATTCAGGGGATTAAGCAAGGAGTAATTGCCGGCGGTAAATACGATGCCGTGTGTATCCAACTGATGTTTTCAATGCGTGAAAAATACATGCACCTGCAAACGAATTCATGTCAACACGCATCACACATCATGCATGCAAGTGATTTCAAGTAAACGGGCATCGTGCATAACTTAGATATGCCAGCAACAACAAGCATCGCGCGAGACGTATCAGGTACCAATAATGCGTTAAAACGATTTCAAGCTAGCACGCATCACGCATTAAGGCATTAATGGCATTCGCAAAATCGGCCATGATGAGCCCTCTACGCTGAGGTCTGGTCAGTGAACGCCTGTAAGGCGCTGACAGTAAATTGGATAATCCCTTTCGGCGACCCCTTCTGGCAAACACACTGAGGCTGAAATCCAGGGAGGTACGGATCCTGTGCCCGTTTAGAGCTCAAGGTTACTCAGCACTGGACCACCCGCTCGGACCTTACACTCAGGGTCACAAGAAAACAGTTGCCTTTTTCGCTGCTGCACGGCGGCGGAGGTGTGCGCCTACCAAATACTGTGCCGTTCTACACCTCGGGGTGGAACATCGTAAAAACGATCGGGGTGCCGGAACCCATAGCCAAAGGGGGCCGTCCAGAATTGTCCCCAGGCCTCCTCTCCAATGCCTTTATCATTGTCGTTGACGTGTTAATAAGGGCCGAACTCAACATGGCGCCTGCCCCTTAAAGAAACAGGAAGCTCCGTCCAGGATGCACCGTAACACCGGCAAATGCAGTCTCCCCAGCTGAAGTGGTAGTACTCCCATTCCACGTAGTTCGCCCGGCGAACCCAAATTCCTGTGTTCCGTCACCCTCCTCTACACCGCACGGTTTTTCCATACCTTAAACGTTCTGAAACCTCCAGTATTCATAATGCTCAGACTATGATGTGCGTCGTTTTCGTCGAAATCGGTTATTAATTGGATTACAAATACCTGAACGGTTCTGAGCTTTTAGTACACCCTGATGCAACGCTTCCCCCGTTCAGGAAGCACAAATAAAGATCTACCCGACCTATGTGCAACAACGCGAACTCTTCATAATCGGCCCACCAACCCCAGGGACCTAAGTGTGTGGGGGCGGGGGCAGAATGCGGCCTCTCCCCCGGAATACAGGTAATGGGAACCCCGCCCAGGATATGGTTGAGCAAAGCTAGCTATGACGCAGGTTTAGGCGATGGATGCTTTCGTGAACGCCTTGTGTAGATCAGGTAATGGGCGTGTGTCGTGACAGTTTGCAAAGCATCGCCCGCGGCGGCGGATGCCGTGCTACTGCTGCACGTTGTGTTAATTTTTCACGGAATGTTGGGGTGTGTTTTTGTGCTGCTGCCGGGCAATGCCTTCACCGCCTAGGCGTGCCATGTTCTGTGGCCGCGTTACCGGCGTCCGGTGCAAAGTCCTGACTTCGAGAGAATGAAGTTTCAATGGAATGTGTGGTGGTAGCCTGGAAGAGTTGCGGTAAGGTCCGGGCGATGTCAATCTTCTGAAACATCTCATCCATGAGGCTGAGCCGACATCGCGGCACTATGTTGGCTTTTTGCTAGGGTAAAGTGGGGATTACAACACAGAACTGAACGTTTTCTTCTTTCATTGGGCAACAACCTACGAAAAACGCGCTTCTAAATCTCGTGATGCCCCCGTGCCCCCGACCCAAGTACGTCCTGGTCTTGGTACACCGAGAGAAACCATTTCCTCGTTTGATACTGAATCTTCGCCACGCCTGGCTAATCAAGGGCAATCTGCATTCAGCGGCCATGAATAAGCTTAAGTGCCCTCCCCCCGTTCCCGCATGAGCATAAGCGTGGGTTTTAAGGAGGGGGGACGGGGGCTTTGGGACCGTCCGCAGGAGGTGGCGGACTCCCTGGGACACGGCTCCCAGTATTTTTGGGCTGTTATTAACGCTGGCCGTGCTTCTTAATATCAAAAATGGATCCTCACACGCATCAAAATGAGATTTTGACCCTAAAAGCTCCCAAAGGCCCAAAAAACGGCGTCCCCTGGCTCAAAGTTGCCTCTTTGTTCCCATTTACCCCCTCCTGGGTAGAGTCCTGGCTACGCCACTGGGTGGGAGCCGCCCGAACGCCCGCATCGACCCCCGCAGAGATGGAGGGGGGGGGGGGGGGAAGCTGTGTGGGTCAAGTCTCAGTGATAGACGAATCACAGACGCAATGAAGCCTCCACCACTTTCCACGCTCCGTTATTCCATAGTAACGGAATGGTAATCCCTGACCGAAAGGATTATGATCCACACCAAACTGCGCCGACAACAACGCCAGGAGTAGCCAGGAGTAATAGCACTTCCCTCACCGGTTCCACATGGTAGACGATGATGCCGTCGTTGACGAAGTAAAGCGGCGCGAGCGCCAGCGGCGCGGCAGCCAGCACGAGCGCAGCGACCGCGCAGAGCACGACGTTGTGCCAGACGCCGGCGCAGAGGACCCGCAATCGGCGGCCGGGTGGCAGCGCAGCCAGCGACTCCGAACAGACGTCCACGAAGGCCGCCGGCACGATCAGCACCAACAGCAGACCCGAGCCGAACACACGCACGTGCTCCCTGTTGGGACGAGGCAAACGGTGGGTGCCGCGAGTGGGCGCTGCGCGGCAGGAGGCGGGGGGGGGGGGGAGGGGGGGGGGGGCGAGTGCGCACGTGCCCACGCCGACGAACAGGTGGAGCGACCGCGATTCGGTGATCTACGTGCTGCGAGATTGGAGCCAAAACGCGTGAGGGTTCTTTGTAGACGAACAGAGGTGAGAGGTGCTCAAAGGAAGGCATACGCCACACGAGATCCCTGATGGCAAACCTTTTGCGTGAGACCAGCACGCTAACCATCCATCCACTGGAAATGCGGGCTCGGCGGCCGAAAATTCGTGATAAGAATAGAAATCGTTCAGAGTGAGTTGATGGATTTCGTGATTGTTGCACATACGCTCAGTGCAGAACGATGGGAGTTCATTGGCTGGGCAGGCTTTCAGGCGCAATGCGATACACGTGGCTTGGCGCGTCGCAATCCACTCGTGAGTTGGCTTTATTTCCGAACGGCGCATCGGAACATGTTGAAACACTGCCGTAATTCGCTGCGCCACAATACCACAACTCCTCCCTTCTTGGCAAAAACTAGCATAACGGTACATATTATAAGTCCAGGCGCTCTGGCGGGCGCTAGTTGCGTACCGGACGAGCAGGCGGCGGAACCAGATCGGCTGTTTCCGTCGTTCGCGAGCCACTGGGCTGCGGGAGGCTGGTTTCAGCTTCCGCGGATGAAGCGGACGTCGCTGGCTGGTTGACAGCTTCCGCGGACGGAGCGAACGTCGCTGGCTTGCTGTCAGTCGGCTGTGGTGTCGTCACGTTCCTGGGCGCAGCCACGAACGGCTGTGAAGTTAGGCTACCAGGTGCGAAGTGCTTCTCTGTTTCGAGCAGTCCATTCTCTCCAGATTTATTACGGGGACGGATGTGATCGAAGTGACAACGGAACTGACGGCCATCTTGCAACAGAACCTGGCAAGACGGTCCGCAGACATCTAGCCCGGTTCCTGGGAGCCACTTATAGGCCGAACCAGTCACTTCTGTGATGAAGACTGTGTCTCCCGTACGGAATAATCTGTTGACAGAACCACTCGCTGTGCTGCTGCGGTACTGCCTCTCCTCCGACGGATGGAGCTGCGTCAGGTGCGTTCTTGGAGCGCGTTTGAACAGCATCTCTGCTGGGGCTTTCCCTGCTGCTGTAGGTGGCGTATTCCTGTACTGGAACAACCACCTCTGGAGCTTCGCGAGCAGAGGAGCGGGGCGTTGCTTCTTGATTCCGGTTTTCACAAGCTTCACTATGTTTTCCGCTTGACCATTAGACGCAGGGTGAAGCGGAGGGGTGAAGACATGGCGAATGCCGTTGGCGCTTGTAAAGTCGCTAAACTCCTTACTGGTGAAGCAGCCAGCGTTGTCGCTCACGATCACTGCGGGGATCCCACGCATGGCAAAGGTAATCCGTAGGTGGTATACGGTCGTTCTTGTGCTGACGTCGTTGGTTATCCAGACGTCTGGCCATTTGCTATACGCATCCACCACAATCAGAAGCATCTTGCCTTCTACAGGGCCAGCGTAGTCAACATGTACTCTGTCCCACGGAGCGTCTGGGTACCTCCATGGTTGAGAAGGCACTGTAGGCGCTGCTTTCTGGTGTAGCTGACATGCGTCACAGACTTGGGTGAGCTCGGCAATGTCTGAGTCCATCCCAGGCCACCAGATCTGCTTCAGGATTCCGGCTTCGATTTGACGATCCAGCCCCTCTTCCACCAGTGGGTGCAGAGCCAGGGGCAACGATCGCCGTTTGCAGAACACCGGTTTGACGTTCGGATTTATCTCCAGGTGGGCTTCAGTGTTGGCCTTCCCCAACTCGGGCTTCTTCAGATTTGGGAACTTTTTCAGCATCTCTTGTGCTGTTTCCTCCAGTGAGGCCTTCACCTAGAAGATTGCATGCCAGCTGAGTTTCACCTTGGAGAGACGATTTCTTCCCAGTAGGGGCTGGCTGGATCCACGCACTACGATCGGGTGGTAGCTGGACTCATGTATCCTTTTCTTGCACAATCCCCTTGACTTCCCTAATACAGAGGTGGGCTCACCTGTGTAGGTTTTCAGTCGCTGTCTGCATTCCTCCAATTTCCTGTTTGGCCACAGCTTGCAGAAGAGCTGTTACGGCATCACTGACACTGCTGCACCAGTATCGACTTCCCCTGCACTGGCTTTCCACCCACTGCACTGTTGTCTCGATTGGACGGTTTTCGCCTGCTGTTGTCTCCTGTGTAGACTTGTTGATCCTCAGGAGGCACTCCTCAGGTGGGCTTTCATGCTGAGCTTGCAGATTGTGTGCTTGGTCCATCTGTTTTACTCTGGTAACACCATGCTGACCTTTGTTTGCGGCATGCCGTTTGGGTGTGACCCCGTTTTCCACAGTGAAAGCAGTCCTGCTTTTTAAAGGGGCACTGCCACTGGCCATGTTTCGGGCTGTTACATCATGTGCATCTTTCTGTGTTCGAGACGCTGTGACTGGGCTGGTTGCTTTGGTGCATTTTCTTTTGCACCACGTTTGGGGCGGACTTTTGTTTTTGCACTACGTTTTGTGCCTGGACATTTGCCTGTGGCGCAGCAAATCTGTTTGAATGGCGTGCTTCAATGGCACGGGCTTGGACTCTGGCTTGCTCCAAGCCTCTTGCCAATGAGCGCAATTCCTCGAGTGTCATTTTCTGTTGCAGGGCCTTTTCCCTCACCCTGGGATCTCTGACTCTCAGGATCATCTGCTGGCAGATTTCCCGGGCAGAATCGGTGAAATTACAAGTACTGGCGAGGTGCATGAGGCGAGCCACAAATGAGTCAGTGGACTCACCTTCGATTTGCATCGTTTGGCGGAGCACATCACACTCGTCTATGTTTTCTGCGGAACAAAATATGACCCGGGCTGCGTGCACATCTTTCTGTAGACATCTGCGGCCTCTCCCGCGACAGGCGGGGGCTGTGGCGGCGTTTCTTGCACATCAAACACTGCAGGACCAGCAACATGCAGCAAGTAGGCTTTTTTCCGGGCAGGATCTTCTACTCCCATCGCCAGACACGTTTTACAGTCGACGGAGCCATTTACGCCATTGATCTGGGTGCGTCATATCAAACTGCGGCCATTCCGGCGTCGGCAATGCCATCCCTTTTCAGACGGATTTAAAACTTATGGCGGGCAATTCAGCGTGAAAATAACAAATCAAAGTTAATATCCTCGTCGCCAATCTTGTTTCATACACGCTCAGTGCAGAACGATGAGAGTTTATTGGCTGGGCAGGCTTTGAGGCACAATGCGACGCAGGCGACTTGCCGCGTCGCAATCCACTCGTGATTTGCTTATACTTCCAAACAGCGCAGCGGAATATGTTGAAACACTGCCGTATTTCGCTGCGCCACAAAACCACAGTGATCGTTTGATGTCTATCACGCATAGAACCGACTTTTCGCACGGAATTATTCATTTTTGTGCTTTCTTGCCTCCAAGGCTGCCAATCTGCGTATGCTTGACACGTACAACCATCTATTTGTAATCATTGACTTCAGGAACGCAACTTTAAGCGTCTGAAATCCGGAAAGAAATTTGGTTTTGCAGGTAGGCTTAGTCAAGGTTAATGACTGAGGCCCGCTGCCCCAACCGATTTCAAAAAGTGACATCCCTGCGGTGGTATCCTCTGGTACACTCTAAGTAACAGCCCACAAAGGCCTGTAATTCATCAGCTGCTTCGCGCAGAGGAACAATGCCGCAGAACTGGTTAAGTCTCAGCCCCGAGTCGATTTACCTGGGGTGCCTCAAATGCGCATCATTCTTTGTCTGTCGTTTTGGACTACCTTAGTTTCCCATTTGGGGAAACCGACAGCATTACCTGGCTTCCAGATTTTTTTGCGGGGTGGGGGATCTTATTTCAAGATTGTGTAGGAGAATGGCAGCAGAATTCCACAGCAGCCCTCATGCATTCGAATTATTTTTACCCTGTTTACTGTCTATATTTCTTCAAATTTTGGATGACTGTATTTGCTTAAGATGACAGGGCTCAAGGAATGGAGTTTTATACTCAGTTAAAAGGGCTGTTCCACGTTTGAAGATATTGAAGCAAGCATTGGACATGGTGAACCAAGCTCACGTTAAACTATTGGTATGCTTTCAGGTGAAAAAGGCTGCTCTAAACAACACAGGCTCTCTGTTGAGTTCATATGCTGCTCAATACGTCATTGTTTGATAGCGTCATCGCACCTTACACAAAATTAATGGAGAGCCCATTGACGGCCATTGCATTTGGAAATCGTGCTCACGAGAATCAGATATGAACAACTCGACAATTATATTTTTGTTGACTGATCGTCGCATTCGCCGAAATTGTCTGCACATCTTCGCGGACGTCTAGCTAAAAAACCTGGAGCGTTTAAAGGTCTCTTAAGAAGGGAAGGGCTGTGAACTGCACTGACTGATCAAGATTGCTTTTTTCAGTTCAAACCCTCATACAAATGTGGAACACTCCCCTTAAAGGGAATGAGAAGACTGATACTCCGGGACTCTGATAAAGTCACCTGGCGCTCTGAGGAACTCTGAGAATAAAGTGTGCGACATCCGGGGAAACCCGCTTTTGACACATTTTATGGGTACGTTCAGTAATTTTTCACCGTCGGCCAACACTTCCCCCCCCCCCCCCCCCATTTCATTTCGTGAAACTACTCCCTTGCGACAGTCCCATGCTCCGAGAGCCTATGGGACCGATCGATTCCCAACCTTCACCATCCGGAGTAACTGGGTCGATAACGTATCTTTTCCAGACAACCTTGCCCTTGAGTCGGGTCAAAGGTCACCAAAAATGCAACAAACGGAACAGCAGTGGACAGAAAACCCCATATTTCGGACCTTTGAGGCAGCTTACTACTATATATTCATTATTGTGTGCGCCATAGTCGGTATTCTATCCTGTCCCGAACATGGTGGCCCTGGGTCAGGTCAATGATTACCTGAAACACCGAAAACCACCAAGCATAGTTGCGGACAACCCCACATTCCAAGCCGATGGGAGTGATCAAAAATAAAACTTCAACCGGTACGTCATGTTGGGGAACCTGTTCCCTGCAGACCGTGGTAATCTTAGCTGGTGTCGAGGAGTTGTCTACACCCAATTTTGGTGGTTTGGGATGTTTTTGGCGAACTCCGACCTTATCCAAGGTCACCAAGTGTCGCAAATAGTATACTGACTATCGCGCATCGACTGGTAAATATTTTGTGTTGATTTGTCATTGAGGCTTAGTATCGCCCTCCTCCCCCTTCCAATTGCGGGCTTTATCCCCACCCTTTGGAAGAAAGTGCAAAGAGAAAGCCGTTTCTTGGAGCATTTTTGGGAAAGCTCCAGTCATTTTCAATAGCTCACGCAAACGAACCCCGTTCCCATCGACGTATTATGCGAAACATCGACCCTGTCGTCAGGAATCGATACGCATCCACAAGGTTGACTGATGCTATGTATTTTGCACAAGTAGATATTGCAGGAAATATGCAGGGCAATCGGCTGAGCAGAAAGCTGAGATACGAGTTTAACATTACGAGAGGAACAATAAACAAGTCCAACGCCGCACGACAATTGGTTTATGTTAAAACAGGACAGAAGCCTTACCTTTATGACATGCTAAGTGCCCATTTCTCAAGGCAAAGACATTACGCAAGTTAATACAGTTATAAATAACGTGTTTTACGACCTTTTCCAAAGAGGCTTTCACTTAAAACAACTCTCCCCTGCACCATAGGAACGGCACACAAACTACGACAGCTGACATGTGATATGCACACACTTAACAAACGGAACACAGGGCGAAGACAGAACAAAAGGTGGACACTGGTCGGATGGGGCGGTACAAGCCACCATGATAAAGCACATGTGTTGACTTCAGATTTGGGTTGAATGGCCAAAGCCTCGCCAATTTTAGCGCAGCCACATCCTTGCAAGCACGCAAAATTTTGGCGCGTTCAAGCGCAGGCGATAAGAACATAAATGACGCCGCAAACGTTGAGTCGTTACGTTCGCCACATGTTGCCAAGCATGGTGCGATCCGGACGTAATCCCGCTGAAGTCGCGCCTGCAGTCCCGGGCAACGTGTCGCGCGGTCGTCACGCGGTGCGGGGTCCACCTCGAAGCCCTCACGTGGTGCGAAGCGGGCCAAAGCGTCTCTCAGTCCTGGCAGAGCTCAAGGCTCAACTTGCGGCGTGCGTCAAAAGCAAATAGGGATCAACTCTCCGCTTACGCCCGCGCTTCTCTGGCGGTTCATCGCGTCCTGTTAGTTCACCACTGCTGGCCACTTGCCAGTAGTGGTATTTGACCAGCACGCGCGTGAAAGTCACGCGCCTAGGCGTGGCGCCCTTTCTGCATCTGGACCAGGCGAGTGGCAGCCCGGTGATTTGGCCTTCAGCCCACGGAGCCCGCTGCCGTCAGCAGAGGATGGGAGCGCCTGCTGCCAGCGACGAGCGCGCATTCACGCGTGAAGCGTGCTAGACGACGATCCTGTCCACCCGGCAGATGGAAGCATGATTGTCATTGCAACTTGCGCTCATCAAATATTTATAGGCTACCACCAAACCACAGTTTTCTGTGGCGTCTGCTGACGGTTGACCCAGGGGCAACCAGGGGTAACTCCACGCGGACCCGTCCAGCGTCTCCCACGTTCCATCACGCGGCTCGTCGTGGATCCCAAACCAGAACAGGGTGTGCCTGCCGTTCTTCTGGAGGAAAGCCATCAGGATTTGGGCCATGGCGTCGTCGTGCGTATGGCCCAGTCGCGCCCCTTCGGCCAGCTGGCCGCAGTGCTCGTCGGCAGCATGGAAGGTCATCGGCTGCTTCACCAAGCCGTAGCAGTGGACGTCCGTTTGCAGCCAACCGTCCGGACAGCCGCGCAGCAGACCGGCCGGCATCGGCGCCTCACAAACGACTCCCAGCGTGGCGTCCTCATCTGGCCGCTGGATGAGTTCGTCCGTGTTGTGGTTTTCGGACAGGCTCATGGCGATGCCACCCGTCGAGCGGATGGTAATTTCGGGGATGAAAAGGCTCTTGTCGGCATTGCGCCAGCCGAGGGCCCGAAGCTTCGGCGAAACCCACTCGGCGATGTGTGGGCGGCTGGAGTGATGCAGCAAGAACGCCAGCTCCACGTCGTCGTTGATGGACACGGGCAGCGCGCACGGGTCGCTTGACTTGCAGGCTGCTATAGCGTCGTTTTTGTTCATGGCGTCAGCGATCCTCAAGTAGCAGCTACCGTTGAACGGGATCCAGCCGGGCAGACAGTCGGTCGAGCGTCGGGAGATGGCCCGCCGCTCGTAGCTGACTTCGGCGGCGTCCGTCGACGGCGCCGTCTTCAGGCAGTGCTGCGTCATCACTAGCAGGTCGCACCGGCCGTCCGGTCCGAACCGGAAGCCGTCGCAGTAGGCGGGCTCCAGCTCGCCGCAGTATCGCGCGCACCGGCCTTGGCTGGCGGCCCATAGCGTCGCGGTCGCGTTGCCGATAAAGCGCTGCGTGTTGCGGGTGAACCAGTCGGCCGTCAGGCCGGCCGCCAGGCCGGGCAGCAGGAGCGTCAGCAGCTTCATGACGACGATGTTCGCTCCGATCTCGAGTTGTGCTGGACGGTGCTGGACACCCGTGCTCGCCGGCTCGGCCTAGACCACTCTGCACGTTGGGCTGCTGGGGGGAGGGCTTGTTTTGCTGTTGTCCTCCACGGCAACGGACTGCCGAGCGTGACATGGAGCCACAAACTTCTGCCGGCGCTATGGTGGTGCATTCCTCAGACGGAAGCGCAGTTCCAGTGGGTCGACTTGTCACGCGTGATGCGGCTGCGCGAACCATTCGACGTTCAACGATGACGCTCGAACGGACATCTCACGTCACAAGAATGTGAAGGGTATCAAAGACGGCATGCAAAGCCAACATCTCGATCGACCTCCACAATCGGACCGCCCGGACAGCCATGGCGAGGAGCGTCTACAGGGTTTTGCAGCGGGGAGGGAGGGAGAGGGCGGGGAGGGGCGGACGTGAACAAATTAGTGGCAAAAATTACGGCGTCACAGGTGTGCGAAAATTTTTTGGCGTCAAATACGTCGTATATTATAAATCTGCGTTATCTGCCTACCTCAGATCTACCATCATGCCTTAATCCCTGAACACTAATTGTATCTATTTTTACTGGCATACCTACGTTTTGTTGACACACTTTCACAGGCATAATAATATACGCAAAAATTTGATACGGGGAATCTGAGGTGCCCTCTGTGTCAGCTCCCTCTAATACGCTACTGTCAATGGGTTCTATCCGCCTGTGACGATTTACATGACAGGAAACTGCAGCTGACCTCATCGCTTTGGCACCGTTCAGACATGTCCATCCAGATTCCTGATCATTGGAGAGCAAGACGTCGCGAACATACTGATATTCGCGGTTTACAAGCACATCATTGCCGAGACAGTAATGACCCGCGGGACACTGAAAAGACAATGGGCAAACCCAGCTGACACCCTTTGGGGCGGAGAGGGCAAGAGGATAGGACAAACAATATGCTCGTCGATAGCGGAGATGTCGGGTAAAATTATTTACTTTGTGCCGGCAGTCGTGGGAGGCAATCTAAGGAAATTTGGCCGGCTCTCGTGCCTTGCCCCTCCTATCCTTGCCGTCCCCCACCTCATGGAAGGATTTTTCTTCAGTCAAATACGTCTTCATTTCGTGGGATCATGATTTACGTTTGAAATAAATCAAATCATTTTGACCGAACATCGATGGAGCAAGCAACACAATTTCGCACCGCACGTCTTTTGCCGCTATCCCGGCAGCTGTCCCTCCGCAAGTTTCCTCGCACAGGAGGCGGGCCCGCGACTTCTGGACACACTGGTCCGTCTCCCCAGCAGCAAGCTGAGTTTTAGCCGTACGACCGGCAGCACAGGCGCGAGGATATGCTGCCTTCAAGCCAGGCAGCCGGCGCGCCAAACGGCGGGTCAGCCTGGGGAGCGGGCGCGCCGGCCGCGCCACCGCGGGGTCGTGCCGCCGTGGCGCGCCGCCACGGCCGGCGTCTCACCTGACGGCGGCCACCGCATGCCCGATCTCGTGACAGACGCTGCACACCAGCAGGGTGACGAGGTAGTACGGCACGTCGTCGGCCGGCAGGTTCACTCCCGGCAACTGGGAAGGAGAAGACGCTCAGCTCCACACATCACAACGCGCCTGTTTTGTAGGCTGGTCGTCTCGCCTGGCTGAGTGAGCAGGACGGGCAGGACGGTCGCTGGCGACGCACGTCAGCACCACATCGGTGCTGGTCGCAATTCCGGGGGCGTGTATTGACCACGAAGTGCCCTCGAGACAAACGCGGGCGGATCTATCCGTGACCCCACATCGCCTTCCGGTTCACGTTTGACAGGAACACGAGACGACTCGGCACACGCGCCACGCTGCCGCGTCTGTTCGTCACGGACGTCGCCGGGAAGTGACGCCATGCAGCGGGCCGTGACACCGGCGGCAGCGGGCGCTAATATTGACCTCGCGTTCACCATGGTCGGGTAATTTTACTTGACGTGGTTGGGCTTGAAAACACTCATTTTCGGTAACTGTGAAAAGAGCATTAAAACGAAACGTCAAGGTTTTGGATTGATATTAGTCACAATAAACTAGTTGGATGAACAATTTTTTTGATGGATATTGGTACCCAATAAACCGGCCCTGCGATGATATTACCCTCAATGTACCGCCAGCCGACATCACTTACCAGCTAACTAACACAATAGGGTTTTGTACGCGCGGTGAAGGCGCGCATATTTGAGCGCTGATGCTATTGGTAGCCGGTGAATTGGCGTGTGTGTGTGTGTGTGTGTGTGTGTGTGTGTGTGTGTGTGTGTGTGTGTGTGTGTGTGTGTGTGTGTGTGTGTGTGTGTGTGTGTGTGTGTGTGTGTGTGTGTGTGTGTGTGTGTGTGTGTGTGTGCGTGTGCGTGTGCGTGTGCGTGTGCGTGTGCGTGTGCGTGTGCGTGTGCGTGTGCGTGTGCGTGTGCGTGTGCGTGTGCGTGTGCGTGGTGCGTGCGTGCGTATGTGTGTGTGTGTGCGTGCGCGCGTGTGTGCGTGCGTGCGTGCGTGCGTGTGTGCGTGCGTGTGTGCGTGTGCGCGTGTGCGTGTGTGTGTGTGTGTGTTATATGTTTTGTCTTTTTGCCTGCATGTTCTTGCCTCCTGCACTTTTAGCACGGGGTTTTTAGAGTCACACTCCATTATGGATGACCATACGGAAGTAAAACAATACGGTACAATACACAACCAACTAGGTGGATGGATATTGTTCAAAATAAACCGGCCATGCGACTATACAGTTAGCCTGACCCGATTTGTCTCGGTTCAAGCCACACAACGTTGCATTTGAGGCCGGTTTCAGAAAGGTGGCAAGAACTTCCTCTCGCTCTACTCCTGGTGCACGCGGTCGAACAATGTTGACATCGCTCAAAGATTCGTAGGCGGCTCTCATAGCAGCCTGCACCACATACCTGATTTCATGTCTCCACCTGCCCCTGGCTGCCCAGAGCTGACATCAGTCATTAAAACGCTCTTAAAACAAGCGGATCGCGGTTGGCGCGCATATCCAGCTTATGGTAATCAGAATTTGAGTTCATCTAAGTTAACCTCATGTCGCTACGGGGTTTGCTCGCAGAAATCCACGCGGCCGTCCCTAGCCCGCATTCCCGAGCATGCTTGTGACACGCAGTTTCCCGTTTTTCATGTAAATCGAACGGGTAGATAACGCTAGGGTGATATCGCAGCGCAACTGGCTGCAACGTAATGCAACGTAGGAATGTGCCACCTCATCGAACCGTCCGCATTTGGATGCCTCGCATAATATACATATAACGACACAGCTTTAACAAGGCGTGGGGAATTCCTGAGAATTGCGTGGCGGCCTGATCACTGGCTACAAAGATTTGGACCTGCCAAAGTCCACGACTGTCCAGGCCGTTGACGCTACAAATATCCGGTCAGTGGTGGTTACTGCTCGCTCAGCACGCGATCCCGTTTGCGATGTTACGCGTAAATCTCCCACTTTTGAATCACCCGAGCCGACCCCACACAGTCGTAAATCACCCATACGTATGAGAGACGTAAAACGTACATGCAACGTGACAAACGGCACATGGCAAGCTGAGTGATACGGTCTGCGCAGCAAACGTAGTACGGGATGTCCAGATCTCTAGCTTGGCGAGGAAATCGGCGAGGAAAATGAGTGGGCGTCGCACACCTCGCGTGAAACAAAAAAGCAAAACAAAACAAAAACACATGAGCCAAATGACAGCTGCGACTCAGCAGGGCATCTCCATGATCGCGCTGTCCGCTACCGTTTGTTTTTGCCCTTACGCTGTTTCCTCATTACATTGGGAAGAACGGTACATCGATACCCCGCACAAGTTTCATACACTTATATGCAGAAGCCCCCCCCCCCAAAAAAAAACATTGCAAAACGATACAATAGTTGTTCCTCGTCAATGCTTGCCTCCTGTCTCATCATCTGAACACACACAGCGATCTGTACTCACAACGCGGCCTGCAACGGTTGGCTGCTGCTCCCCCATCCCAGCCCCCTGCTCACCACGGGCTCAAGGATGAAAGCAGGACGCGTGGCGGCAGCGGCGGCGGCGGCGCCGGCGCCGGCAGCCGGGGCGGCGGGCCACAGCAGCCTGTAGATAGTGTAGATGAGCAGCAGCATGGATGGCAGCAGCAGCGCGCACGTGATCCAGACGCCACAGGCAAACCACAGCCGGGTCAGCCGGCCCGGCGCACTGCCCCAGCGCTGGAAGGAGCGGTTCAGCATGCGCGTCGACCACTTGATCTGCAGCGGCTTGATGGAGATGCCAGATGACTCCAGCAGGTTGATGTACGGCAGGTGCAGGCATGACTGGAGGTGGGAGAGCGAGCTCAGAGAAACAGGAATGCATCATGCAATGTGTGGTGGTGTTGACAGTGTTCACACCACTACCTCATTAGGGTGTTTGGACAGATGCTACATAACCTGCCGCAGTGAAGGAAAAAAAACAACATTTGCTAGTGGGAATATCACCACACAATGTGGTGGTCCAGGATTGCCCACACACAAGAAGATGATGGCACTCCACTGAAGTAATGCAGCTTTACATATCTGCACTTTCACATAATAGGGCTGCTTTTGATCCTGAATTTGAAGCACAGCTCAACTGGAAGTAAACTCAGCTGTTCCCTAACCAAATGATATCATAACATAGTTTCCCAGTGTGGGCTTTACCAAAAATCATGTACTATTTACCATCCATACAAAAAACTCTACATCCTACCTTTGGCAGTCATGCTCTCACCAACAAAACAGCTGTAAATTCCACACCATGTACTTACCCTAGGGTGTCACTGTCTAAAATGAGTTAAGGAATCAAACCCTGAAACCTGACATAACTGGCCTCCAAATTCTGACTTCTCCTAGACCTCTGCCACATTGATTTGCATCCTTGATGTCAATGTACAAAACTACTTGGTCAGTTCCCAAATTATTTTGATGCTGAGGAATGACTTCCCATTTCAGGCCAATGTGATAGTGATAATGATAATTTATGATGATGATAGTATTACCAGAGAAACAGTTAAGTCCTGCCTAGTGTGTGTATGCCAGCAGCTCAGACAATCACTTTCTTGTATTCTGTTGGAGTTTTCAGACATGGCAACTGCAGTGGTAATTTGGCACCAATAGCAATGCTTTCTGTAACTAATAAGCCATGTAAATAGTCCTGATGTGAAATGTTTAAAGAACAACAAGAAAGAGTGAGTTATCTCCTAGAATGTCACAGACTATTAGTGGTAAGTCATGCTAGCCAGAGCAGTGTTGACATCCTTCCAAGAGGTCTGCATTCCCTTTTTTGCTCACATGCATTAAGGGGGCCTGGCAGAGCATTCAGAGCACTCCAGGTCAACATGGGAGGAGGCTCTGGTCCCTCCTAGAATATAAAAGTAACGCACCAATGTTTAGCTCCCACAAGTTACAGCATAACGTGACCTGTTGTTCATCACTGCAACACATCCATATTTTCATAAATTCTCCGCAATTTTGCCATAATTTCATGATTAACAAGTAGGCTTACCTTGAGCAGAGTGTCTGTAAAATACAGGGCGAAGCACAGAAGAAACACTATAGCGACGATAAAATAGGCATCCATTTTTAGAGAGGATAAATGTGGTTCCGGCCTAAATTGACCGGCCCCGTAATTTTCGCTGAGTTCCTTTACGTTACCACCATCCAACGACCCGACCAGACCCGTCCCTCACGGGCCATAGCGCGCATCAACAATATTTTGGCTTAGCTGCGCCTTTTTTGAAACCGTAAGCAGCTTCCATATGTAATAGGGGAATTCACCTAAAGATTGTTATCGACCATTACGAATAAATTGTGTGCCAGGTGAATATAAAGTAATAGCAACATTAAGCGCAGTGGTCAAAGCACGTTCACTTCCTAACCTAAGAAAAATCATTGTACGCCATTCGTCATGTTTAAGCCAGGATATATCGTAAATAATCACAAAACAGGTAGATTCATGCTCTTGCCTTCGAATTTTTTATCATTACAATGGCGAGCTCCCGAGCGCCGAACACACGCGGCAACCTCGACCCCCATCGTGACTGCCACGCTATTGGTGCGTGATGACGACATTTCTGTTTGTCAGGACCCGGGTTATCTCGATGAGTTCCTGTGGAGGAAACAAGATACGCGGCTGCGGGCAGACTTGCTTCGCGTTGTCCAACGCCAGTATCGCGTGTAGGTAAGTTTAAGAAACAGACAGACCAGAAAGGCGAGAATAGACCAGAACCTAAGCTTAGCTAAGCTAGGCTAACCTGAACAAACTTAACCGAACCTAACCTAACCTAACCTAACCTAACCTGACCTAACCTAACCTAACCTAACCTAACCTAACCTAACCTAACCGAGAATAGACCAGAACCTAACCTAACCTATCTAACCTAACCTAGCCTAGCCTAACCTAACCTAACCTAACCTAACCTAACCTAACCTAACCTAACCTAACCTAACCTAACCTAACCTAACCTATCCTCCCCACCCTATATCCCCTTCAACCCAGCATCCCATTGGCATCCATGTTCCATGCCATATATAGGTGCTGTACAGTGAGCTTTTATTTAGCCATGTTCTCATTTTGCTTTACATTCCCCACCCAATCCCCCTGCAGCCCATCATCCTGCTGGCATCAAGAATCAAATTTCATAGATTCTTGTTACCTTGGCCCCCTACATTTTTATGGTTCTTGATGCTGCTTGATGCACAGTGATGTTGTGACTGCGTGCAGTAATGGCGCCGGTGTCGCGGCTGCTGTGTGTTTGCGGCAGTCAGATGTTCAGTATCATGATTAGTTAAATTCCAAGGTAGGAGTATAGATGACCTGTTTTATGGTTAATTATGATATGTTCTGCCTTAAAAACAATGATTGATGTACAATGCTCTTTTGTAACATGAGGTAGGAAAGTACACCCTGACCTGTAGCTTTGTATGTGAAATATTATCCTGGCTCTGATCTGTGGAATTGTTTCACCATGGTTATGCACTGTGTTTTGTGGTTAATGCCACCATGCAAGTCAAAATAATATTTTTCATTACAGGTGCATTACTGAGGTACAGAGAGGTTTTCATTCCTTATATATATATATATATATATATATATATATATATATATATATATATATAACATTGGATGGTATATTATGTTATGATATGATGAAGAGAATTGATGAAATTCTAATGGGTACAAATGAATTGATTTCTATTGCTGACATTGGCCAAAATGAACCCCTTCTTTGAAACTAGTTTGGTAAAGGTAGCCAACATGTAGCTTTTAAACATTAGAAGGTGAGTACATCATACTCACCATGTAATTGTTATTGGACATGTCATTTTCCTCTGTTAGTTGTAAATTCACCCAGCCCAATCCTTTCTCTCACTGGTGCATTGCTGTGTAAGTAATGCAGTGGCAAGAAAAGAAAAGAAATGCTTTAAATGTACATAAAAAGGCACAGTTATGTTGTATGCAAATGTGTGTGTGGCACAGGTACTAGATTCATCAACAGCAAGGCAGTGTTGTCAGAAAGCTTTCATTGTGCTGTTCAACTCCTCACTACTTATAAAAGTTGGTTGCAGTTTGATCCGTTGTAACTCCTTTCAATTAAACATATTTAGTGTGCCAACATCACAAGACATTGTTGTCCAAATGACTTACCAGGTTGTTTTAAAGCAAACACATTGAGAACATAAGGCTAGTACACATTTGTCCTGAAAGTGGATGTAAGTTTGCTCTCCATGCCAGTAACTAACACAAGTGGCATTACCTTGGCTGCAACATTAGCAGCACCATCTTCATTGAAGCACCAATTTCATACCATGACAAATGCATTTTCAGACCCTGCCTGTGACCTCCGGCAGTGTGTGCCCGCCCCTGTCACTGCCCGCGCCATGGACTCTGTGACACACCATCCGCGCTACGCGGACCTGGTGGCCTTGCTCGACGCCTCGGGCGGGTGGCGTGCGCTGGCCCAGCTACAGGACGACTACGACTACATTGTGACTGAGGATAAGTTGGCGGCGGCCGCGCGCCGGCCCTCGCCAGCTGACCACTTGATCCGCGCGCTGCTGGACCAGCTCGGCGAGCCGCTGTCCCCGGACGAGATGGCCGAGCTGCTGCTGCACGTGGGCCAGCCGGCAGCTGCCGAGCTGCTGCTGCCGCCGCGGCCGCTCGCCGTCCGCCCGCTGGCCGACACCAACGGCGCGCGCGTCTGGGCGCCACTCGGCGGCCGCCTGCTGCTGCGCTGCGAGGCGGACGGCCGGCCGGCGCCGACGTACGCTTGGCAGCGCGACGGCACGCCGCTGCCGGACCAGACGTCCGCCTCGCTCAGCGTGCAGCCGTTCACGGCCGCCGACGCCGGCCTGTACTCGTGCCAGGTGCGCAGTGGCGGCGGCGCGGCGGCAGACGCTGGCGACGTGGCCGTGGAGCCGGCGCAGACGCCGCCGCGCGAGACCGACCGAGCCGCGGACGGCGGTGCCACCGCCGCCGACGGCGCCATCGTGGCGCGCTGCGACCGCGCGCGGACGCTGACACTGACCGTGCACTGGGAGGCGTGGCCGCCGCCGACGCTGCGCTGGGAGCGCGACGGCGCGCTGCTGCCCGGCCAGCAGGACGAGAGTCTCACGCTGGCGCCGGACCCGCAGCTCGCGGACGGACGCTACGTGTGCGTGGCAGCCAACGCCGTCGGAGAGGTGGGCATGCCGGGCAGGGCTGACGTGCGGCGGCGAGGCTGGCGGGCGTCGCTACGCTCCCAGGCAGGCTGGCAACGCCGACACATGTGCTGTCAAGGCGGAGCCTTGGGTGGGAAGAGATGAGAGTTCGAGAATGCGTCCTTTGTCATAACATGTGAGCCTGCAGGAGGGGGGATGGCTGCTCGCCCCAGAGCATGAGCTCTCACATGCTGGTGCAGCCATGGAGGTGGGGATGCTGGTTGCCGGGTCACGTGTCCGCCGAACCATGTGTGCTGGGACGAGCGTTTTGCCACCCGCGCTGTGTGACGGTGGGGCTTTTCAACGACATGCGTGGCGTTGGCACTTATTGTGCGGCCTTCTGTGGTACACCGTCCGCCTGTGTCGCCCCGTGTGTCACGTCCGCCCCCGTCGCTTTGACGCGTTTCTCGTGCTGAGGTGGCGCGTTTTGGTGCGCGCAGGTACGCTCGGAGCCATTTGTGGTGGTGACGGACCAGCGGCCTGTGGTGCTGACGCACCCGCGCGCCGGCCAGTTTTGCCAGGTCATCGGGCGCCAGCTGGTGCTCACCAGCAGCGCCTTCTGTCGGCGGCCGATGCAGGTAACGGTTCGAATGACTGTCGCTGGGCGGTCGGGGCCCATGAGTGCTGAGCTCAGGGCAGTGCTGATTCTGTTGCGTGATGGTTTATGTACGGTTTGTGGTGCATAAGTGAAGGTTTATGGAGCTGAGTTAACAGCGTCTGTGACTTCAATTCAGGTACATGCAGTACTCAATGAAAACCCGTTGTGGGTAGTGCATAATTTCTAGAAAATGAACGGTATTTTACCTCGCCGCATCACACACACGTCACGTTCCCCAGCAGCCGGATGTCGGCGCACGCTGTTCCGATGTCGCGCCGGATGCTGCCGTGACCGTGCTGACCCCGATGGCGTGACGTCCGTCTCCCGGTGCCGTTAGGTGATCTGGCGGCGCACGTGCAACGAGCGGGACCAGGTGGTGTCGCCGGCCGACGTGGTGACGAGGCGGGACGGCCGCGGCGGCGCGCACTCGGAGCTGCGCCTCACGCCGGACGCCGCCGACGCGCGCGCCATCTGTCGCGTCACCTGCGAGTTTGTGCCGGACGAGGACTTCGTCAACAGGTGAGCGGGCGAGTTCGGGCAGGCGGGAGGGGGGCGCAGCAGGCGCAGGGTCGTGTCCGCCTCGGCCGGGGCCTTCGCCGGGTCAGCTGGGGAGGGGATGGGTGGAGGCCGTCGGAGTTGATCGTGAACGTCTCGGTGATGTCTGTGCTTGATAACCTGCTGACGAGGTGCAGTTGGCGGTAGCCGTTAACAATGCCGAGGGATGAACACGACGACCGCTGTCGCCAGCGTTCGTCGTACACGCTCATCCTAGGAGATTGACTGAAGGCGCATGTGTCGCCTCTAAAGAGTACCGTATGACAGAGGCGGCCGGCGCGCCCTGCAGCCCAAATCATCACCATTGTCACGTATTTCTCTTCAGCGATCTCCATGGCTTGGCGCGTGTGTATGCCGGGCTGTCAGAGTCCCTGCTCTCACAGACACGATGTGTGCCCTCCTCCTGGGTGGGGTGGGGCAGGGGGGCGTCAGACGGCTTCATCCGCGTCACTCCGTTGCCAGGAGCCAGACGCAGCCGGCCGTGTTCCGAGTGGTGCATGCCGCCCACTCCAAAATGGCCCTCATCATCGGCAACTCCAACTACCAGAAGTTGGAAGTGCTGAGGAAGGTGGGCGTTGGCACGACCAGGCGTCTCCGTTCTTCAACGTAGAACGGATTGCTAGTGGTTGGAATATGCCTCTTGCTGATCAGGGAGGGCTCCTGCGATGGGCGACGCGCCCTGGCGGGAACGGTTTCTGTGTTGTCGGTCTTTGGTGTTGGCAATCTCATAGAGCTACGAAATGGTATCCCCCGTACTCGGAGCCGTCTGAAGCAAACGGGCTTGGCGTTCATATGTTTTGGTGTGCTTGTACCCGGCTTGGATCGTTCGAAATGACTCCGCAGGTGCGCCTTGTTGTGAGAAGAATGGTCTCACGCAACATCACCACAGGTCAGGGTTCATGTGTTTTGTCAACACCTCGCTCGGACCCCAGTCCAGCTCTTACATCGGACGTCATCCGCCCCCTCCCCCAGTGCGCCCCCTAACTCCGAGTATCTCCTGAGACCTCGAGTGTTCTTGACTCTAAGTCTCCTGCCTAGCCCCAGGCCATCCCTTTGACTTCAAGTCTGCTCTCTCACCCCAGATCTTACTTCTTAGCTGTGATCCCCAATCTAGACCCAAGCATTTCTGAACACAAGTCTCACCGATGATCCCAAGTATCCCACCTGACCCCAAGTCTCCCTATGATCCCAAGTCCCTCATCCGACACCAAGTCTCCCCATGATCCCAAGTATCCCATCGACCCCAAGTCTCCCTATGATCCCAAGTCCCTCATCTGACACCAAGTCTCCCCATGATCCCAATCTCTCATCTGACACCAAGTCTCCCCATGATCCCAAGTATCCCACCTGACACCAAGTCTCCCCATGATCCCAAGTATCCCACCTGACCCCAAGTCTCCCTATGATCCCAAGTCCCTCATCCGCACCAAGTCTCCCCATGATCCCAAGTATCCCATCTGACCCCAAGTCTTCCCATGATCCCAAATCTCTCATCTGACACCAAGTCTCCCCATGATCCCAAGTATCCCACCTGACCCCAAGTCTCCCTATGATCCCAAGTCTCTCATCCGACACCAAGTCTCCCCATGATCCCAAGTCTCTCATCCGACACCAAGTCTCCCTATGATCCCAAGTCCCTCATCCGGCACCAAGTCTCCCCATGATCCCAAGTATCCCATCTGACCCCAAGTCTTCCCATGGTCCCAGGTCTCTCATCTGACGCCAAGTCTTACTTCTAACTCGTAGTTTGCACGCTAACCCCTAATCTCCTGCCTGGCCGTAGGTCTTCCCTCCGACCTTAAGTGCCTTTGCGACCCCAAGTCTTGTCTCTGAGTCGAGGCCACCTTCGGCCCGCAGGTGGACGAGGACGTGCCGTCGTTCCGTGCCAAGATGGAGCGGCTGGGGTTCGGCACCCTGGTGGCCATGAACCTGACCACCAGCGCCGCCTGGGAGACGGCCGAGTACTTCGCGCGGCTGGCGGCGCCCGGCGCCTACCTGGTGGTACTGCTGGCTGGCCACGGCTTCACGCATCAGCGCCAGGACTACCTGATGCCGGTCGACCACCCGCGGCTCGGCGCCCTCGCTGGGCCCGACCTCGCCCAGTAGGTGGCGCGGCGAGCGCGGCGGCGCGGAGCCGGGGGCCGGGCTTCCGATGGGACGTGTTTGTGTTTGTTGTGTTCGATGGGACGTGTTTGTTAGCATGTGGTGCGGCGGGGATGGTGTTGTCGGGTTCGGGGATGACTTTCGCGCTATGTGCTGACGTTTCTGTGCGCACCAGCGGGTACGTTTTGGGCTAGGTGGGGGGACCCCCTGAGATGGGCCTGACCCCAGCGCCGCAGGCTTTGGGCGGCGGGTGTGCCGCCGAGTTGGGGCGGGGGGGGGGGCTGATCAGTCAAAAATGACCCAACCTGCCCCCGAATCTTGGCAACAAGCAGGTTTATTCCCCAGATTTGGCCTACTGGCTTCCTAAAAATTGGGGGCTGTGGCCCGAGTTGAGGGGGCTGGTAAGAGGGACATTGCTGTGAGCTGCACAGAATGCTCTTTCTGGTGGCTATTTCAGCTGAAAATTCCATACAGATGTGGAGCACTTCCTTTAAGTTGCTCTGTTGCAAGTCTTATTTTCATAACTGGGAGGAATGCATAACCCCTTGTATTATCTAGCACAAACCGTAATTTATGTTAGAATCTTGTATAGTTTGTGCAGCAATGGTTGAGGGCCATTTGACGGCCGTCGTATCTGAAAATCGTGTTTACGAGCGCCACATATATCATTCGACTCCATCGACCCATTATGATTGCATTGACCTTCAACACTGCATGACTTACAGTTAAATGTCAGATTTTAATGCCGACTATGGCGTCATGGATGCCTGGGTAGCCATGAAATAGCATGCAGGAATAGTATGTACATCTTCGCGGGCATGCATCTTATAAACTATGTCTTAGGTCTTAAGAGGGCGGTGCTGGGAACTGCACCAATTCATTTTCAAGATGCTTTTTTCGGCTCAGAATCCACGACAGTTCTGGAACACTCCGTTTAAGCATCTCTTGCACTTGTTAATGGATCATGTGACTCGCCAGGGGCAGCGGCAGCACCGATATGACATCACACGCTCCCATCCTTCCCGCGTAGTTTGTTCCCCTAGCTGAGGTTGATTCTGGCAACAGCATAACAGTGCCATGAACAGTCCTCGGGTGCATCCCTTTTCGCTTTCCGCCGTTAAGCGGCAGATGTCTGAATGTCTAGCTCAGCCGGTCGCCAATAGATGTCTCTAGGTGAGACGCCTGACTCCCACTCCATCTCCGCCTGGCGTCCCGCCACTCCCGCCGCCGTCTGGCAGCCACATCACACTTGGCCTTCTCCTATCGCCGGCAGATGTCTGTGCCTGTACACCCTGGAGTGCCGGCTGCAGCGGACGAACCCGGCGATGCTTTTGATGTGCGCCGACACGTGTCGCAGCCCGGGTCCGCCCGAGGTGGTGCTGCCGCCCCGCCGCCGCCAGGAGCGGCTCCAGCCCACCAGGAACGTGATGCGACTGTACTCCACTCAGGTGAGGCCAGCAGCACGTGCAGATGTGCGCCGTTTGCGAGCGTGCGTTGCGTCATGCCCGGTGTCGCGCCAAGCCCCGATCATGTGTGGAGCGTGGTCGCACGTCAGTGTTGCCGGGTCGGCTGGGCGGCTGCCTGGCTGACAAGCTGTGCGCGTGCATGTGGGCGCCTGTGCTTTCGTCGCTCGGTACTTTCGTGTCAAATGTCCAGAGCATGGGTCTGGGAATGTGTGTCCCTCATATCTGACATATAGAGAAGTATCGGGGAACAGCTATTCGATTGCTGGTACGTTCCTGTGCGTGCGTGTGTGGCCGTGTGCTCGCGTATTCATTCGCCTGTTTGTTGGTTTGTTTGCCGTTCCTGTGCAAACGAGAACATCGAGCTGTTAATAGCGTGATGGGTGGGTTTTGGTATCCACGGTGCTCATGTCTTGTTAGCTCGTTTACACACAAACGCTGTCTGTGGGCCACACAAACGCGATCTGTGGCACAAAAGCCGTCTGTGGGCGACACAAACGCCATCTGTGGACGACACAAACATCGTATGTGGGCGACGCAAACGCTGTCTATGGGCGACACAAACGTCATCTGTGGGTGACACAAACGCTGTCTGCGGACGACACAAACATCATCTGTGGACGACGCAAACGCTGTCTATGGGCGACACAAACGTCATCTGTGGGTGACACAAACGCTGTCTGCGGACGACACAAACATCATCTGTGGACGACGCAAACGCTGTCTATGGGCGACACAAACGTCATCTGTGGGTGACACAAACGCTGTCTGGACGACACAAACATCTGTGGGCGACGCAAACGCTGTCTATGGGCGACACAAACGTCATCTGTGGGTGACACAAACGCTGTCTATGGGCGACACAAACGTCATCTGTGGGTGACACAAACGCTGTCTATGGGCGACACAAACGTCATCTGTGGGTGACACAAACGCTGTCTATGGGCGACACAAACGTCATCTGTGGGTGACACAAACGCTGTCTATGGGCGACACAAACGTCATCTGTGGGTGACACAAACGCTGTCTATGGGCGACACAAACGTCATCTGTGGGTGACACAAACGCTGTCTATGGGCGACACAAACGTCATCTGTGGGTGACACAAACGCTGTCTGCGGACGACAAACGCCGTCGCGTGGGCGGCAGAAACACCGTCTAGGGGCTACACAAACGGACGGCCTCGTCACCGCGGCCTTCCGTTGCGTGCCGTGACCGTCTTCGGCCACCACGGGACATCGACCGGCTCCTGACTGACCTCAGGTTGGCCACGAGGCGCTGGACGACGGCTGCTTCATGTCCCACCTGCTGAACAACATCGGCGAGGATATCACGATCCAGGAGCTGGGTATGCGAACGCTGCGGATCCAGGTAGTGTACGGATACCGTGCGGTTCGCGACCGATGGTAGCATTGGTTGCTATCGGTATGGTTTGGTTGTGTCGATCACCTTACAAAGCAAACCTCGGTTGGTTGTATTTGATACGAGCGAAGCGGTGATCGCAGCGGGTTGCATGCGAACAGCGGGACAACCTTCGACCCGTGTGACCCTGCCCGGCTCGTATGCTTTCTGAAGGCCAACCAATGCGACTATCAGTGGCCCTGCCCGGCTCGTATGCCTTCTAAAGGTCAGCCTGTGCGACTGCCAGTGACCCTGCCCGGCTCGTATGCTTTCTAAAGGCCAGCCAACGCGACTACCAGTGGCCCTGCCCGGCTCGTATGCTTTCTGAAGGCCAACCAATGCGACTATCAGTGGCCCTGCCCGGCTCGTATGCTTTCTAAAGGCCAGCCTATGCGACTACCAGTGGCCCTGCCCGGCTCGTATGCTTTCTAAAGGCCAGCCTCTGCGACTACCAGTCATCGTCTCATGCATATTTTGGCAGAGCAGAGTGCAAGTCTCTGATACTTCGGCGCTGGAAGTTTTTAGTTATCCACATGTGACCCGTCTGAACAGAAGGGCGTTTCCTCAGCGCTGCAATTCGAGCAGTGTTCTGCATTCCTCTCCATTCAGTCCATTGTATGGGAAAAGGCACAATTTGCCCATTGTGAAGAGGCTGTGTAGCACCCGTCCGAACCTGGTGGAGACCCCGCCGGCCCAGCATACCATACCAGCATACCAGCAACATAAGATACCATACGGTGCACCAGCAACAAGAGGCCAGCGCAGACGGATGGCACGCTAAACGGACAGTGATGCGAGCAGAAGTTTGGGCCGACATGGCCAGCCAATCACGCATGAGAACACGCAAACCGTAGGTTTCTCCGTACCGGGGCGTCTTTCTGGGACTGATCTCAGGCCCCGACAGCCGGAGCTGGGGAGCGGAATGTACGGTGGAGGCGAGCGCGCGAGCTGCAAATCACGGACAAAACTCGCGGCCAGCCCAGCCATGGAGATGCCGGCACTCGGCTGGAGAATGGCCGCTGCCACCTGAAATGGTCCGAGCGTGTGACGCTGTGCCGTACGTCAAGAGAAGTTAAGCCGCGATGACTGCGCGTGCAATAAGTCGTGCTCATTCTGCCCAACTATGAATATTCTGCCCAATATTCACCCGAGATATTTCCGGTTTTACCACTGCCTTGGTCGCAGTTGCCGACGTTGTTTATTAGTGAACGTCAGACGATTTGGTCGATCGAGTCCATGTCTATATAAACGGTGAATTGAATGTGTCATGCCTGAGCAGACTCTAAGCCAACCGGTCTTCAGACAATGTGGTTTGTGAAATTAAGTAGTGAACTCGGGGTCAGTGGGCCTCTACCAGTTCAACAGTGAAGAAAGGCAGACTTTCCCACACACTGACATGGGCGTTTTTTTTTTAAGTTATTTACTGCGTTGACTTTGGCTTCAGCCCTGTGAACCAACTTGGTTGCCATGGTGACCACCGTGGCACCTCGTCTCACTGTGCCTGTCCCGTGACCTTGAGCCCGCTCCTTTGACCTTGAGCCCACCCCGTGACCTTGAGAGCGCTCCCGTTAGGTCGACCCAGCACCCGTGACATTGGCCCAGCTCTCGTGACCTTCACCCATCTCTCGTGACTTCGACCCAGCCCCGTAATCTTGGTCCAGCTCTCGTGACCGTGGTCCAGCTCCCGCGACATTGACCCAGCTCTCGTGACCTTGACTCGGCGGCCGTGTTCACCCCTCGCTCCGGGCGGCCGGCAGGGGGTGCAGTTCCCGATCGCCGAGATCTCGGTGGCTGCTGAGTACAGTCTGCGCGACTGCGCCGACCACCGCACCACGCTGGACGTGGTGCTCACGCGCCGCCGCGAGAACATCTGCGACCCGGTGCGTGCCGCGCGCCAGCGGCGGGCAGCGAATCACCTGGTGACGCTGGCCGCAGAGCGCGCTGCGCGCTAGAGCTGGGCTTTGCGAACGGTCGGGCTTCGGGCGCCAGTGGTGGCTGGGACGTCGGGGGAGACGGGGTAGGTTCTGTGGTGGCTGGGACGTTAGGGGAGACGGGGTGGGTTCCGTGATGGCCGAGTCGTCGGGGGAGACGGGGTGGGTTCTGTGGTGGCTGGGACGTTAGGGGAGACGGGGTGGGTTCCGTGATGGCCGAGTCGTCGGGGGAGACGGGGTGGGTTCTGTGGTGGCTGGGACGTTAGGGGAGACGGGGTGGGTTCCGTGATGGCCGAGTCGTCGGGGGAGACGGGGTGGGTTCTGTGGTGGCTGGGACGTTAGGGGAGACGGGGTGGGTTCCGTGATGGCCGAGTCGTCGGGGGAGACGGGGTAGGTTCTGTGGTGCTGGGACGTTAGGGGAGACGGGGTATGTTCCGTGATGGCCGAGTCGGTCGGGGGAGACGGGGTGGGTTCTGTGGTGGCTGGGACGTTAGGGGAGACGGGGGTGGTTTCTGTGGTGGCTGGGACTTAGGGGAGACGGGGTATGTTCCGTGGCGGCTGGGACGTCTGGGGAGACTGGGGTAAGTTCCGTGGTGGCTGGGACGTCGGGGGAGACGGGGTGGGTTCCCTGGTGGCTGGGACGTCGGGGGAGGCGGGGTAGGTTCCCTGGTGGCTGGGACGTCTGGGAGGCGGGGTAGTTCCCTGGTGGCTGGGACGTCTGGGGAGACGGGGTAGGTTCCCTGGTGGCTGGACGTCTGGGGAGGCGGGGTGGGTTCCCTGGTGGCTGGGACGTCGGGGGAGACGGGGTGGTTCCGTGGGTGGCTGGGACGTTAGGGGAGACGGGGTGGGTTCCGTGGGTGGCTGGGACGTCTGGGGAGGCGGGGTGGGTTCCGTGGTGGCTGGGACGTCTGGGGAGACGGGGTAGGTTCCCTGGTGGCTGGGACGTCTGGGGAGGCGGGGTAGGTTCCGTGGTGGCTGGGACGTCTGGGGAGACGGGGTAGGTTCCGTGGTGGCTGGGACGTCTGGGGAGACGGGGTAGGTTCCCTGGTGGCTGGGACGTCTGGGGAGGCGGGGTGGGTTCCCTGGTGGCTGGGACGTGGGGGGAGACGGGGTAGGTTCCGTGGCGGCTGGGACGTCTGGGGAGGCGGGGTGGGTTCCCTGGTGGCTGGGACGTCGGGGGAGACGGGGTAGGTTCCCTGGTGGCTGGGACGTCTGGGGAGGCGGGGTGGGTTCCGTGGTGGCTGGGACGTCGGGGGAGACGGGGTAGGTTCCCTGGTGGCTGGGACGTCGGGGGAGACGGGGTATGTTCCGTGGCGGCTGGGACGTCGGGGGAGACGGGGTAGGTTCCGTGGTGGCTGGAACGTCGGGGGAGACGGGGTAGGTTCCGGACGGTGTGCCTGTCTTGTGCGATTTAAACGGGTGTTTGTCGCAGTCGTACTCTATGGAACAGGCTACAGACCGATTTCTCGAACCGTGTCCATGGGGAGGGCTGTTCGATGACATGCTTCTCATTTATGTTGTTTGGGCTGCGACAGTGGGGGGGGGGGGGGGGGGCTAACGCTCCCTGTGATATCCAGCCCTCTGATGAGGGCTGAATAGCCGGGCCAGACACAGCTGCTCAAGTATTGACAGATGGTCTGATGATGTTCTTGTTTTTTTATCACCGGACAGCCCACTTGGGAGGGAATGCAAAAAATGATCACCTTTAGATTTTGATGCTTAGGCCCTGCCACAAATGACCTTAGGCCACAAATGACTGCTTGTGTGGACACTTCCTACGCTTGAAAAGCACAAGCTCAAGCAAAAAGCAAAAGCAAAAGTTCACCAGACAGTAAATATCAGTAATTACAATGGTTCACGACAATCATTACAGGAAAAAGGCTAGTAGGATGCACCCTTAAGAGCATTTAAGTCAAATTGTTAAAAAACCATGTCGAGTCTCATGAGCAACCCATGCTGAACACATCCCTCATTCTGATGCCGGAATGCAAAGAACAACGTGAGAGAAGGGTCCGGATGGCGAGGTGTCCCAAATTAAGCACTCCCAGGAGGCCGCCGGCCGCCGAGCGGTTGACCGGCGGCTCTGCTGTGTCCGTGTCCCACTGTCTGTTGTGTCTGCGGCTCTGCTGTGTCCGTGTCCCACCGTCTGTTGCGTCGCGTCGCGTTGCAGCTGTCTGCCTTCCCAGCAGCGGCGGTGGCGACGAATGCGTCGGAGCTCTTGTGCCGGGGTGACAAGGAGTTCAGTGTCATGCACGCCCTCTCTCTCTCTCTCTCTCTCTCTCTCTCTCTCTCTCTCTCTCTCTCTCTCTCTCTCTCTCTCTCTCTCTCTCTCTCTCTCTCTCTCTCTCTCTCTCTCTCTCTCTCTCTCTCTCTCTCTCTGTCTCTGTCTCTTGTCTCTGTCTCTGTCTCTGTCTCTGTCTCTGTCTCTGTCTCTGTCTCTGTCTCTGTCTCTGTCTCTGTCTCTGTCTCTGTCTCTGTCTCTGTCTCTGTCTCTGTCTCTGTCTCTGTCTCTGTCTCTGTCTCTGTCTCTGTCTCTGTCTCTGTCTCTGTCTCTGTCTCTGTCTCTGTCTCTGTCTCTGTCTCTGTCTCTGTCTCTGTCTCTGTCTCTGTCTCTGTCTCTGTCTCTGTCTCTGTCTCTGTCTCTGTCTCTGTCTCTGTCTCTGTCTCTCCATGCGCCTCCACACCCCGCCTTCGCCCCGAACCCCGCTGCCGTGTGGACACCGCCTCCGTCCCGAGCCCCGCTGCCGTGTGGACACCGCCTCCGTCCCGAGCCCCGCTGCCGTGTGGACACCGCCTCCGCCCCGAGCCCCGCTGCCGTGTGCTGACCGCCGCCGCCCGGTGCGCGCCGCAGTCGCTGGGGCTCGAGCTGGGGCTGCAGGAGAGCTGGAGCACGTACATCTGGCACGGGCGGCACGAGCTGCTACTGACGCTGGAGCTGACGGGGCCGGCCCGACACATCTGCGTCTGGAACGTGCTGCCGGTGGACTGCAGCGATGGTCAGGTGGGTCCGGGCGGAAGAGGCGCTCGCCGGCCGAGGCGGTGCCGACCCAATAGGAGCCGGCAGTGTCGCGGCCCTGACCGCGGCGCGACACTGCCCACTGTCGACACCCGTCGACAACGCGACGCGTGTTGGCGACGGGTGGGGGATGTTTGAACCCCGCTCAGCTGGCGGGATGGCGTGCCGGAAGGAGGGGTGGGGAACTCACCTTGAAATGGATTCTAGAGCGCGGGCGTGAATTATTATGGTACATTTGCAATTTAGTGCCGCGCGTGTCATGTGTGTTGCCCTGCTACTTGTAGGGTGCAGAAATTACGGGAACTGCATGAAGTATCCGTTTTGTTGCGGTGAAACTTGACAAACGTGTTCGTTGTATTCACTGACGTACCTGAACGTCACAGTTATGCACTGGTGCCGCCTTCAGAGCGCCCCTACCACTAGGCTATCCAGCAAAGTCGGCGAGACAAGCCAAGTTCCCTTTAATGTCTCCTCGCAAGTTCCACCTTGTCTTACGAGAGAGATATGGATCGTGGAGGTTAGCCGTGAGGCAGTATGGAATGCTTATATATATGTATATAGATATAGATATAGATATAGATATAGATATAGATATAGATATAGATATAGATATAGATATATATATATATATATATATATATAGATAGATAGATAGATAGATAGATAGATAGATAGATAGATAGATAGATAGATAGATAGATAGATATATATATATATATATATATATATATATATATATATATATTTGCACGGGATTTGTATGTCTCCTGAAAGATAAGTGAAGCCCCCGGCTGGCCAGTACTGACGCGATCCTCCTCTGAAGCTCCACCGGCGAAGTACTGCTAAGTTGCGCAGCTATTTGGGGCGGCGTATCGGAACCGGCCCGATGTTCTGACAGCGTGGGGGGCGGGGGGCTGGGCGTCCCCGAGATGAGCGCATATGCCCGATGCCGTACCCTTCGGACGGCTGTCACTTCCGAGGCGTTGGCTGTGGGCACAACGTCATGTGGGCGACGTGGCCCAAATGCCGGCGGAAGCGGCTGGATCGCCCCGCCTCCACGCCTGTCGCCAGCCTCGTTTTCTGCACGCCTTCCGTTGTTCCTATGGGGGTTTTGGGTGCAGCGCTCGGTTTTTTCGGCGGAGAGTTAGGGTGCTTGGAGGTTTTGGATTTCGCTTAAATATTTTATTAAAAACGTTGTTCTCACAAGTATAGTGTAGCTATTTGTCGAGAGATGGTTTTTGGATTTCGCTTAAATATCTTACAAAAACGTTGTTCTCACAAGTATAGTGTAGCTATTTTGCGAAAGATGCGCTGGCATTAGACGCGGGTTGCCAGCGGGTGTCACGGTGAGCGTTAGGATGAATTGCGCCGTTCGGCCACTAACAAATTCAAATTTTCTTCGGGACTTCCAGCATTGTTTGTTACCCACCGACGAATGCCATCAGGCTCATCTTGCCAAAAGCTTGGACACCGCACATTGTCAGGATATCACACTGCTGACAACGGCAGCTCCGTACTGACGGCAGCTCCGTACAGACAACGGCAGCTCCGTACAGACAACGGCAGCTCCGTACAGACAACGGCAGCTCCGTACAGACAACGGCAGCTCCGTACAGACAACGGCAGCTCCATACAGACAACGGAAGCTCCGTACAGACAACGGCAGCCCCATACAGACAACGGCAGCTCCGTACAGACAACGGCAGCTCCGCACAGACAACGGCAGCTCCGTACGGACAACGGCAGCTCCATACAGACAACGGCAGCTCCGTGACAACGGCAGCCCCATACAGACAACGGCAGCCCCATACTGACGGCAGCCCCATACAGACAACGGCAGCTCCGTACAGACAACGGCAGCTCCGTACAGACAACGGCAGCCCCATACGGACAACGACAGCCCCATACGGACAACGGCAGCCCCATACAGACAACGGCAGCCCCATACGGACAACGGCAGCCCCATACAGACAACGGCAGTCCCATACAGACAACGGCAGCCCCATTCAGACAACGGCAGCCCCATACAGAATATAGACAACGACAGCTCCATGCTGACGGCAGCCCCATGCATACAACTGCAGCTCCATACGGGCAGCTCCATACAGAATGTAGACAACGGCAGTTCCATACAGACAGCCCATAACGGCAGCTCCCCGTTGACACCTCGGCTCCTCCGCAGGCTCGTCTGCTGTCGCCGCAGCTCGCCTTCCGAAGGGAGAGCGGCGACCAGACGTCGCTGCGCAGCTCGTGGCGGCTGACCGGCCTGACGCCGGTGCCCGGCTGGGTCACTGTCAACGCCCTGGTGGTGCTGGCTCGCGGCGAACAGAGGACCGGCTACGTGCTGCGCGAGCGGCGCCTGCTGCTCGGCCCGCTGGGTCTCGAGGAGGCGCCCGAGCAGCGGCCGACCAGCCCAGAATGCAAACTCTCAAACGTGGAGCCGCGCTGACCTTCGACGGCGGTGTCCGGGGGTGGGGAGGGAGTGCGAGGAGACGACGGAAGGGAAGAGGAGGGGATGGGCGATCAGGGATTGGCGAGGCGGTGAGAAGTTTGAGCGAGAAGGCCGCAGGGCTTGTGAGCCGGCTGTGTTGCACGCGACGTTCGTGTACTTTATGATGGAACCCGCTGAAGTTCCAAAACTTGAACGTCCGTCCAGTTGTGTAGCCCGATGTTTTGGGCTCGGCGCGCGCCGTCTGACACAGCCTTGGCTGAAGCTGAAGTTGCTGAAGCTGAGGTCACTATGCGCTGCCGAGCGCGTTAGCATGTTGCTGAGCCGCTGCCGCGGCGTGGGCTGCGCGTGAGTCCGGCGCCGCACCCTCTTGAGCGCGGCCAGCGGCGGTGAGCAGGCCACGCGGCGCAAGTGAGCAGCGTGCCACCTCACCCGTCTTCCTCAGCGCGCAAGTACCGGGGTTGGCGTCGAAGCGCGCCGCTGGGCGCCGCTCGATGGGCGCAGGCCGGCAGGGGACCCCATGAGGAGGCGCGGGGTGGTGGAGCTCCCGGACTGCGCGGCGGTGGCAGGCAATGGGGGTGTTGCGGTGCGATGGTGCGAGACGGTCGATGATGCTGAGGAAGGCGCGAGAGCGGTCGGTCGCTCTGGACCCTTTTGTACGCTGTGTGGCGGTCTCTTCAAGCCTGGTTATGACGGTGCGGTTGAAATGGAGCGGCGCGCCAGCCAGTAGCTACGCGTCATTCGAATGACGCTTCGTCGAGGTGTTTAGCTGATCTTTGGAGGTGGCGACGCTTGCTGGTGGTTATTCAGTCAGTTTAGCCGTCGCACTGAGGTGGTACAGATTGAATGCTATCGTTGTCATTTGATGATGACGTGTGTCTTCACGTGCTCCTCGTGTGTTCCCTATGGAACTGCCATAGTCGAGCGTCAAACGCTGTACCTGGCTACGGGTTATGGCCGAGACGGTCAAAGGAATAGTGCGATGCTGTTCGATTGCGGAGTTGATGCAGGATCGTGCAGGCCTGGGCAACCGCTGCATTGAGGTAAACTGATAAATACGGGTGGTAACAGAAGCAAAGGTACTTACACCCTTTGATATGTAGTTAATCGAAGTTGAACGGCGCATGCCTTGAGTCATAGAGCGATTGCGATTTTACGGACATATATGTTTGTGATAAGCATGTACCCCTTCCGCCGAAATTGCGCGTCCTCCTGACTTATTTGGGGGCTGTGAGTGTGCATTGTTCGTGCATGATATCCGTTATTCGTTTAAATGTGCTTTTTCGAGCTTTTTGAAGTTGCTGATGCGTTGTAATACATGAGTAAGGCGGCCTTTTGGCGTTTTCGGTCATACACGCGTAGTCTTGGGTGCTTACTTTGTTTATCCCACCACCATTTCGCTTGACGCCGATCCCTTTCATGAGTTTAATATTGCTTCCCCTCCCCCCCCCCCCCCCCCCCCCCCCCCCCCCCCCCCCCCACGGCGCCGTTGTCTATTTCAGTTGCGAGTCAGTTGGTTAGGCAAAAGCACACATTTTCAATTGCACCGGCGGTGAAAGTTAAATAAAAAAGTCTCGCCTCACCATACCACGGCAGGATTCTGCCCCTTCCTGGCCGCTTTTCTTTCTGACGGAAGACGAAGGCGCCACGTCGGCACGGTTCATACGTCGAAGTACGAGAAAACGTGCCCTTCGCGCCAGTCTTTTTTCTATAATCAAATCAACTGTTCCACGTCTTGAAGGTCTATCCAATAGTACGTTATGGTCAAAGTTTATCTTGTGTAACAGCTCATTTCTGTGCAAACTTTGTATCCTTGGCAGGTTCCTTCACACGCCATCGCGGCTATTTCTTGGCGAGCGTCACTTTACTTCCCTAGGTGTGATATCGAGTCATGCAACCGGCTTTGGAATTTGTTACCAGCACTGGATAATTTGGCATCATGCTCCGATATTGAATTTAATTAATCGACCACGAGTTGACACAGTGGACCAGATCTTTCATCCTCAGATGGTCAGACATTCGGCGGGTTCTTAGACGGGGCGGCGTTCGCCACTTCCCGGAAGTTGCCGCCTGGCAGCCGGTGCCGACTCACGCCACTTCAGGGGCTCAGCGCGTTGGCTGTGGCGGCCGCCGTCCAATTGGCAGTCACGGCTCAGCAGCTGCTGCTCGCATCGATACCACCAACCAAGCGTGCTTACGCCGCCCTAGACGCCTCACGCGCGCTTCGGGAGGCGTTGTCATGGAAACGATGGATTAGCCAGCCTTTTGGAGTGTGCCGTGCATAGTGTCGGCCCACAGTCGGTCGGTCGGTGGCCGTGGCAGGCACGGGGGGCGCTGAGGGACTGGGCACAAGCTGTGCGATGTGATTGGAGTCGGGGCAGCGCCGCGCTCAAACGGAGGCAACCATTTGTTCAGGCGCACATTGGTGTCACACCAAGTAATCAACAATGGGGAAGAAGAGAGGAAGGGGAAAGAAAGGCAAGAAGGGGAAGAAGAAGGAGAAGAAGGTCAAGGACATGACCGAGGTCACGAAGGAGCTGTTCGAGATCACCGTCAAGGACCTGACGGAGAAGCTGGAGCACTGCCGCACCAAGTGCACCAAATTGCAGGAATCGAACGACGACCTGACTGGCCGCAACACGCAGCTGACGGCTGACCTGGGCGACGTCATCAGCTTCTTGAAGCTGCAACTGGAGCAGAAGCGGGACGAGCTGGCAGAGCTCACCGAGAGGCTGGAGGGCCTGGACGCCCAGCGGACGCGCGAGCAGCAGGAGTGCCGCGAGACCTCAGAAAAGCTGCAGAGCGACATGAAGAAAATGCAGGCGGAGCTCACGTCCGATGTGCAGATGCTGACCAGCAAGTTAAACTCGCTGGAGGAATTCCGGCGCATGCGCGAGAGGCTGTTCGAGGAGCGGAATGAACTGGAGCACCAGCTGGAGCAGCAGAAGGAGGAGGCGGAGGAGATGGTGTACCAGGCCGACAAGCAGCGCATCATCGACAGTGACCAGCTGAAGCGTGACTCAGTGCGCAACATCACCGCCGTGGCGCAGGCGTTCCAGCAGGCGACGCGACGCCGCATCAACCAGACCACGCACCGCACCATTCGCGAAAACATCTGCCTCACCTCGCAGATGGTACTGGTGGCCGAGAAGGCGCGCCATCTGGACGAACGCAACGCGCGCCTCCTCGAGCGCAGTGCCGAGAACGACCGCGTGCTGGGCGCGCTCGAGTGGACGGAGCGCTCGCTGGTCAGTGCCACGCGCAAGCACGAGGCCGAGCTGGCCGCGCTCGAGGAGCGCAACAGTGCGCTGGCCGAGATCGCGCGCGAGCGCGGCCAGCAGACGGAACGCGACAGCGACATGGCGTGCCGCCTGCGCCGCCTGGAGACGCGGCTCGCCGAGCAGCAGCGCCTGCTGGAGGCGGCCGCCGCCGAGCAACACGAGCAGGCGCTGCTCGCCGCGCGCCTCGACGGCGAGCTGCACGAACAGACGGAGGCGCGCGAGCGCCTGGAGGCGGTCGTGGCGCACGCCGGCGGCGTGGTGCGCCAGGCGCTGGCGCTGCCGCCAAGCGCTACCGGCGGCGCGGCGCGCGCCGGCCTGCTGCAGCAGCTGCTGGCCGTACTGGCGGCGGCGGCCCTGCGTGACCAGAGCCACCGGCTGCGGCCGCTGGCGCCGCCGCCGCTCGACCAGGTGGAGGGACGGCTGAAGCCCGGCGCGCTCGGCCTGACACCTGGCGGCGACGGCGCGCTGCGGCTCCGCACCGCCGACAGTCTGCTGCGGGAGCTCGAAGACGTGGCGGAGCAGCGACGGCCCGAGCAACGCCCGGCCGAACCTTAGTCGGGAGCTGCTGGCCCAGCAGCGGCCGGCCGGGCTCTAGTCGGGAGCTGCTGGCTCAGCAGCGGCCGGCCGGGCTCTAGTCGTGAGCTGCTGGCTTAGCAGCGGCCGGCCGGGCCCTAGTCGGGAGCTGCTGGCTCAGCAGCGGCCGGCCGAACCTTAGTCGGGAGCTGCTGGCCCAGCAGCAGCCGACCGGGCTCTAGTCGGGAGCTGCAGGCCCAGCAGCGGCCGGGCGGGCTCTAGTCAGGAGCTGGTGGCCCAGCAGCAGCCGGCCAGGCTCTAGTCGGGAGCTGCTGGCCCAGCAGCAGCCGGCCGGGCCCTAGCCGGGAGCTGCTGGGCCACCCAGCAGCGACCGACCGGGCCCAGAGGGGACTGACGGCACTCTGCCGAAAGAGCTGGATGGCGCCGTCCAGCTCTTTCGGCAGGAGAGCATGACCAGCAGACCGCATCACCGCATAAGCAGCAGACCGCAGCACCGAGCCAGACGTCTACTAGTAGCCGTTGTCCGTACACCAGACCTCGCTCCGCTCCTGGCGCGCATGCGCGAGCAGTGTTCGGGTCAGCACAAGCAGGCTTTCTTAACGTGGAGCGCATCGGTCTGCTCGGAAGCATGTCAGCTTTCCGACGCGGCCTGGGTCTCGGGCTACGGCACCATCCAGCGGCCAACCAGGCACGACCGTTGTTTGTGAAACAAGTGCGTGACGTTGTACATGGTGAGCAGCGTTGTGCAAAATGATGCGATTGAAAATTGATATGATTGTTGACACAACTGATTGCTTTGTATGTGAAAGTTTACGCTGTAATGCAATTATTACGTTGTGGCACATGAGTTAAAATAAACGGATTATAATTCGCAGATCTGGACCGACATTTCGGCGCGCACCTGTCTTCGGCTGCGGTGCTTGTCCTGGTTACCTAGCGCTCTATACTGAGAATAATGGATGCCAATGCGTGTGCGAGACTGGCAATCAAAACATCGTCGAAGACAGCAAGCAATCCACAGAAAAAGTAGTAATAAATAACTATACTGTACAGCTTGACAGTTTGTGCCCAATCTTGAAGGAAGTGGCACACATTTATATGGGGTTTAAACTGAAACAGTCGCCTGGAAGACCTTCGGTGCCGTTCACACCCTAGCCCTTCTTGAGACCTTAGCCGCTCTAGTTTCTGAGCTACCCACCCGCGAAAACGGGAGAGTATTTCAAAGCCACTTTGGCACTCGCGGCGTCATAATAACGTCATTCGAATCCCGCCATTCCACAAGCCGCGCGGCGGTGGCCACGACAAATGTGATCGTCGAGGCGTTCCTGTCCGGCGTTCGTGAGCACGATTTCCCGGTATAGAGGCCGTCAATTGCCTCTCGATCAATGTTACGCAAGGTACAATGACGTAATCAACCCATGACGCATTGATGAGCATATCTGTTAAAAGGCAAATTGCGCTGTCGGGAGCAGTCTTTCCCACTTAAGAAGCATACCATTGGGTCCAAGTGAGCTTGTTTCATCAGATATGATGCTTGCTTCAAAACATTCAAATGCGAGATATTCCCTTTACCACAAAAACAATCTGAACCCAGCAGCTTACTAGAATACCGCACGCTTCTCCGTTCTGGCCACTCACGCAACCACGCACTGGTTCACGCATCCGCATGTCGCGAACGGGGATGCAAGGCCACAATTTGGCATAACCCTATTGAAAGCGACAAATAAATCGCAGAACTAGTCCATCGACGATGCAGACAACTCGCGGAGCAAAAGCAAAAGCCTCCTGGAGATGAACACGGGACATGTATTGAACACCTAACGCTACACGGAGCATCACAGCACAGGCTCGTCGTCGAACTGGACAGGCGACCACGAGGCTGGGCACACGAGAAACACGCCGAGGCTGATCTTCACACCACCAGGGTCCACTAAGCCAGCCGACATTCGCGTTTCAAAGGGAATAGACGTGCTAATTAAATGTAAAATAAGTCAACGCATCCAGTAGCGGTGATTGTCCATGAGGCGGTGCATACAACTCCGAGGTGGAAACAACTCACAATGGTCAAGACAGAGCCAGCCGACATGCCCTGAACGACGCGGTTTGGTCACCATGGTAACTTCACTGCCTACCAAGAGTGTTGCATTAGTCTCATCTTGCCGCGGGTAACCAAAGGCATAAACATCGGATGGCTACAGACGAATGGTTACGCACGGTCTGCTGCACCCAGTTCCTGGCGACTTCTTGATAGAGGGAGCTGGCCGATCTCTTCCAGTGGGTCAGCAATGTTCTTTTCATCTACCCACAACCCACAAGAGCCTTCTTCTAAGTGACGGACCGACGTGGCGCAAGCTGGCGACGCGATACAGCGGCTGAGCTGGGGAATTTGGTGTTGTTATTGGGGTTTTAGGACGCGGCGACTGCGGCCATGTGGCGCCGACGACAAATATCAGTTTAATGCCACATCATGTCAGTTGTTCAGTGTAGCTTCGAGGGGCATAAGACATACATAAACAGAGCTGCATTGGCCTTGTTCGTCATTGCTGGATGAAGAGAACATGTAAAATAGATACAAAATGACATCTCGCCCACAAAACTTTGTCCAAGTAGCACATTGAATGGACGAATTGAATGTTCGCGAATTGCTACCTGCGTAAGTTGTTCGTTATTTATACATGGCCTTGGCGTTGTCCATTAAATTTCGCACATCTTTTTCTTCTCAAAACAGCGCAACTGTAACAAATCACAAACATCCCGGAGCTTATGCGGGGATTATCAGCTAGTAATTGCCCGCCGATCCTCTCGAACGGTGGCTGTACGATTCAGGACGTGAAACTCAAGTTAAAAGGCGAAAAATACGCGCTTATTGCTGAAGCTAGGTTGGACTTCCCAGTCGTCAATCAACTGTACTGCTTGAACACGGGCTCGTGTCGTCATGTCAATGTCAATACGTCTTCTTTGCCCGACTTTTCAGGCATCAAAGAATAAGAGTGCAAATAGCACTGCTCTGATATGCAGCATCCATGCATTATTGCCGCCCAATGCACTTAGTACATCGACAGCAGATGTCGAAGATGTTGAAGGCGTGCGCAGTCACATTTGCCCGAGGATTGCCTTGTCAAGCTTATTCCCCGAGGTCGAGGCCCACGGCACACAAGCCACGTATCCATCAGGTCTCGTCTGCCTACTGGACAACGGAAACACAGGCCCAACGCACAGAACGACTACGAACCTACACACGTTCAATTAGCCCAATTAAAACCTGCAGCCCACAAAAATTAACGGCGCAGTTGTAATGACGTGTCCTAGCCGAAAACCTGAACGGAGGTCTAAAGTGAACTTTACCACCATCCGACCCCACTGCGTGGTTGAACCGAGCATATGTCAGCGTTTTCGTTTCGTGAGGCCTGTTCGAAGGGCCCAACGGAGTAGGCCGCGAGGAAAGCCGGCCACCTGGGAGCACGTGAACACAGATGACACCTTGACGGCAAGTGGGCGCTTGGCTTACGCGCGGACAGGGTCTAACCTACGGCGTCGGCTGATCCGACGCACGTCACACAAGCTCGCTGACCCTGAATGCGTCAGGTCCTTGACTAGTGACCCGTCTCCCTGCAAACATGGGCAACGTAATGGAACTAGCGACGAACTTACGGGTCGGGTGTGGGGCGGGCGCGGAGCGACAGCTACAAAGTAACCAATATAATGTCGACCCCAAATAGACATTCATCAGCTGACAACTTCTCGACAGCGAATTTATCCCTTGATAGTTTACCTCACATTGACATTTCAGCTCAAAGGCGCAGCACCTAGCATCTGCATCCCATAAAAATATTCAAATATTTTGGATACAAAGCTATCGGCCTGACGAGATGACCCCACCGCCTGCGGCTCCGCCCGCCGCGCCGCGCCCCATTGGTCAGTCGGTACCGTGTCGCCCGCCCCGTCCGCCGCTCGCCCCCGCCCCTCGCCGTCGCCGCCGGCCGGTAGCGGTCAGCCGGCGCCGGCGGCCGCGTCGCGGGCCGCCGCGCGCTGCCGCACGCCGTCGCTGGTCCGGCGCCGCCCCGTCCGGCTCGGCGGCCGCCAGCGGGCCGTCGGCGGACAGCTCATTAATCGGCGGGAGCGTCGCCAGCTGGCTGAGGCTCGACGCTGCCGTCGGCCGGCTCTGAGGGAGGGCATACGACGGCATGAAGATGGTGAGATCGACACTGCCGAGGAGCACAGGCATGAGCATGCCGCGAATCACGAGCTGTCAGATATATACCAAACGACGGTGGTAAAACCTCACAGGAAAGCGCAGTAATAAAGCAGCTTAATTGCGTAACGGCATGATGACAAGATGCGATTACACTGAGTAAAACAGAGGAGGTCAAAGGTGAGGGCATTTCTCCGCACAGCAATCGCATTCAACATTGTACGTATACTGTCCCAGCTGAACCCAATCTAACTAGAGCACGGCGAAAACCCCGGAGGGTACGCGGGCCGCCCAAGCTGTGACCTGCGCCCCATCGACAACAGGCCTGGCCAGGGCCCACAGCATTCATGGAGCACACACGCAGGCAGACACACAGAGACACCACCCGCGCACCCGCCAGGCCGAACATCCAACGCCATACAAGCGCCACACCGTCCCGGGCCGAACAGAGCCCCGCCGCTTCGCCCGCCGCCGCACACAGCCGCGTCAGCTAACCTTCGCTGGCCTCTTGGTGCGGCGGAGCGACGGGCGCAAACAGCTGGTGCAGCGCCGTCGCCATGACGACGGCGGCGGCCAGCCAGCTGGCACGGTACACGTTGACCAGTCGCGAACATGTACACAGCGATGCCGGCGGTCGTTGGTGAGAGTGGCCATCGCCTTGTATCCGGCTCTGTAGGGACACCGGGTTTCAGCAAAGAAGAATTATCATAGGAGTTGAAGATGGTAATGGGGACAGCAGCTGGTTGAAGGCAACAATGGTCAGTAACTACGGCGGAGGTCATGACCAGCGACGTGATGTTATTGACATGTGCTATTATTAACCCTTTCTCTCTCCGCTTACCGGAACGGATGCGTCGCGAGACCACCCG